GACATCATGCTTGGTAAAGTAGAGGGTCAGCAAAAAAGAGGAAGACCCTCAACGAGATGGATTGACACAGTGGCTGCAACAATGGGCTCAAACATTGCAACATTGTGAGGATGGCGCAGGACCAGGCAGTGTTTTGTTCTGTTGTACATTTGGTCACTATGAGTCAGACCGACTCGACGGCACCTAACAACAACCACAACATTCTTGTAAATATGACCCTGTTTGGAAATAAGGTCTTCTTAACTATGTTAATTAGGCCATTCTTGAGTAGGGTTGAGTACTAAACCTAATCCCTTCTGAGTTATAAAAAGAGCAGAATAGAAACAGAAATACACAACACACACACACGCGTGCGCGCGGGGAAGAGGAACAGAGATAATGGAGACAGATGCATCTACAAGCCCATGAACGCCAAGGATTGCAGCAGCTACTAGAAGCTGAACTAGACAAGGAAGAACCTCCTCCTGGAGCTAGCACCCTGAATTTGGACTTCTAAACTGTGAGAAAATAAATTTCTGTCCTTTAAAGCCACCCACTCGTGGTATTTGAGTTACAGCAGCACTGAGGAATGAAGACAGAAATAATCTCAACAAAGCTTCATTAAAAAAAAAAAAAGAACAGAAAAAAACCTGTCAACAAGCTCAGTGTTCCTAACAGGGGGATTGGCCCATGGCCCGGGATGAACCTGCCCATGGAATACTACGATGCAGAGCAAAACTGGGGAAGCAGTGCTGTGTATATTAACAGGGCTGTTCTTCAAGACACGTTGTTGTTAGGTGCTGTTGAGTCGATCTCCACTCACAGCAACCCCATGTGACAGAGGAGAACTACCCCATAGGGTTTTCTAGGCTGTAATCTTTGCTGGAGCAGATCGCCAGGTCTTTCTTTCCACAGAGCTGCTGGGTGGGTTTGAACTGCCAACCTTTCCATTAGCAGTGGAGCACTGAACCACTGCATCACCAGGGCTCCTTTTCAAGACACATTACTGGGCGACAAAAGCCAGTTGCAGACCCATATGTAGGATATAATTTATGTAAAAATCCCCCAGAAAACAATACCATACATTTTCAATGGGGGACTTACATGTGCATTTAAATGCATGAGGAAAGAACTAGGGAAAAATGCTCTGAGCATAAAGCAATGGGAACCCTGGGGAAGCGAGAAGGGAGCAGGTCTGTGGTGGCGGGCAGAGGGGAAGTGAATCTTATCTGCCACATTCCGATTTTGTTGTTGTTGTTTACTTGTGTTTTATTGACTATGCAAAGGCATTTGACTGTGTGGATCATAACAAATTATGGATAAAATTTAGAAGAATGGGAATTCCAAAACAATTGGGCTCATGCAGAACCTGTACATAGACAAAGAGGCAGTCGTTTGAACAGAACAAGGGGATATTGTGCGGTTTACCAACTTTTTAAATATGGAGGATACATCCACGTGAGTAAAACAACTAAGAATGAGTTCACTGGCTAAACGCTGCACAACTGAAACGGGGCATTCAGGTGTTAAACTATCCAAAGCCTTGTTTAACATCAAGGAAGTGTTTCTATGGCAGGATTACTAGGGAGTCAGGGGTACTGGGGGTGGCAGATGTGTGGAAAAAAAGAAGAGTAGGCATGGCCAGGGACCCAGGAGAGGACAGAGCAGGTGGGGCCCAGGTGGAAGGGAGCTCAGAGCTGGGAGCGGGACAGTGGCAGAGGGAGCCGGGACTGTAAGTCGGGGGCGGTGGTCACTCACCAAGGGGCTTCCCTGTGTGGATGTCCATGACGAAGCCAGGGACCTGGTTCCCACACAGGATCTGATAATCCACTGGACAAAGGAAAACAGGGTGGAATGGGCATGGGAAGGCTGAATGGATGGATGACGAATGGATGCATGGGTGGATGAATGGATGGATGCATGGATGGGTGGATGGAGAATGGATGGATAACTGGATGGATGGATGCATGGGTAGGTAGATGGATGGAGGAGTGGATGGATGGATACATACATGGATAGAGGGAGGAGTGGATGTATGTATGGATGGGTAAATGGATGGGTAGGTGGATAGATGGGTGGATGGATGGATGGATGGATGGATGCATGGATGGATGGATGGATGGATGGATAGATGGGTACTACAGGCTGGCCCCCACTGAAGAGACCCCTGCCCTGCCCATCACCCCCTCTACTACGTCTCTGCATTCACACCATCCCTCCATCTCTGTAGCCCAGCTCTCACTTGGCCTCCTCTAACCAGTCTCCTTGCCCCTTCCCTGCCTCCACATTGACCAGCACTGGGAGGGTTAAAGGATGGACTCTGTGCAGCGTGGTCTTCCAATACGCAGACTGACCTTCCCTATCCCTTCCTTGCGTAAGTGCCATCAACCACTCCCCGCTGCCCTCACAGTGAAATCTTCAGTTTGGACCTTACGACCCTCAGCCCTTGCCCTTGCCTTTCCTCCAACCATTACTCTCCGCTCCATCTGCATTGATTTCTTTACACATCTGGACATGACATACTCCGTCAGGCCACTACACCTTTGCAGGAGTGCCCTTGTAACCACGCTCCAACCTTGAAGACTCAGAGCAGCCAACGCGGAAGGCCCCTGACCCTCCACCCTGACTCCGTGCAGCTGATAGCACCACCCTTGGGGTCCCTGAGCAACCCACTCTCCCATTATACTCTGCTGATGCTGCTGAGGTGTGGCCTGCCAGCCCTCACTCCCCAGAAGGAGCAGGTATACCTGGACACAGGTGTTGGGATTGAGCCTCCTCATCACCTGTCCCCAGGTCCTGTCTGGCCCTCACTTGCTGGTCCTCTGCCCACGTCATGAGAAGAATGGACCGACTGCAGCCAGCCCCTCTATTGGCATGGACTTCTGCCTTGTCCTATTCTACCTGCCATCCAGCTTCAGGTGCACAAGTTCAAGGGCAGACACCTAAGTCCCAGCAGGTAACTGGGTACCACATGTGCCCTGTCTTGATAATCCCATGGTCAGCATTGCTTATGTGCATCTTCCTCCTAGCCTGCACAGCCCGGGAGGAGAAACTGAGTCTTCCTTATTCTTGCTTCCTAGTACTAGCACAGGGCCCGGCACCCAGAGATGCTCAACAGTGACTCCGCCCATTGGATGTAAACTGCTAGCTGACCCTTCTCATCACTGCCCACTCCTACAGCTCTCACATTACCTGAGCTGGCTGCTAGATCATTCTATCAGGTATTGTCCTAGAGGCCAACCTGTTCTGCTCAGTCCTGCCTCCGAGCCTTTGCTCATGCTGTTCCTCTGCCTGGAACGCCCTTCTTCACCCTGACCTACATCCTCCCTCATCAAGGCTGCAGTCCTCCTCAGAGCTTCCCTGAGTCTGCCTTCCCCCCAGCACCGGGGCCCTGGTTCCTGTAACCAGTCCAGTCACTCAGTGAGTGCCCAAATGGTCTGTGGAAGATACGTTGCCCCCCCACCCCAGAATTATTCATTTCTGTGCACTGCGATGTAACTTCGGCTCTTCAGCTCACATGAGAGCAAGGTGGGCGAATCTGGGAGCCCGAAATGGGCTGTGCGTCTGTAAAAACCAAAAACCAAACCAGCTGCCCATCGAGTTCATGGCAACCCCACATGTTATACAGTAGAACTGTGCTCCATAGGGTTTTCAAGGCTGTGACCTTTTGGAAGCAGATCACCAGGCCTTTCTTCACCAGGCTTAACCTTTTGCACCACCCAGGGACTCCTGTGCCTCTGTAAACAGGGCACTAAGAAGGGCCAGGCAGGAAGAAGGCACTCACAGCTGGCAAGGGTGGGGCAGGCCTCGCAGGGTCTGTTCCAGGCCTGGCCAATGTTGTACGAGCAGCAGCACATCTTGCGGGTCACGTTGAAGGACAGCTCATTCCGACATGTGCCGTTATAGTGCCGGAAGCAGATGCTCTTCCTCATATCTGTGGTTGGGGTCGGGGAAAGGGGTCATGAATCCATTTAGAAATTACTGGCTTGATGATTCTGTGCCCCCAGACTTGGGGGCGCCATTCACATTGTAGTCTTCATTGGGCAGTGCACAACCTGGGCAACCATTCATGACAGCCCTGAGTCCTGCAGTCTCATCTGTCTCACTCACTACTGCATCTCAGTGCCTCAAATACACCCAAGCCCCCTCTCTCCCTCCTCCCCAAACACACCTCTGCACATGCTTCCAAGGCTCGGAGACTCTCAGCACTCCCTCCCGCACCCACATGCCGCTCCCACAACTGCTGATCCCCCGGGTCATCACACTTCCTACCCATGCAGTTGTTGCCACCATTGACTTGCAGGTACTCCGCGGGGCAGACACACGTGTAGTTCCCCAGGGTGTTGTAGCAGGTGCCGGGGCTGCAGATACCTGAGTGTGCAGAGCATTCGTCGATGTCTGCAGGGGAGGGAAGGGGGTGTCTGTGAGTTGTCTGGATAAATCTCCACCCCGACTCCAGGTCCAGTGGAACCACTTCACCATGAGCTAGAGTTTGGTTTCTACAGCAGCTTAAAAGGTACAGACATTCAACTGCTAGGTATACACCCAAAAGAATCGAAAGCAGGAACACAAACAGATACTTGTACACTGACAGATCATTGCAGCATTACTCACAATAGCCAAAAGGTGTGGAAACAATTCAAGTGTCCATCAACCAATGAATGGATAAACAAAATGTGGTATGGACACACAATGGGATACTATTCATTCAGGAAGAGAAATGAAGTCCTGATACATGCTACAACACGCGTGAACCATGAAAACATGCTGAGTGAAGTGAGTCAGACACAAATGGACAAATAGTGTCTGATCTCACTTATATGAAATATCTAGGGTAGGCAAGCACATAGAGACCAAAGTTTATCAGTGGCTGCTAGGAGTGGAGGGAAGAGGAAAGGGAGAGTCATTGCTTAGGGGGCACTGAGCTTCTGTTAAGGGTGATGGAAAAACTGGAAACACAGTGGTGATGGTTGCACAACATGATGAAATGTTTAACGTCACTGAATTGTACATGTAAAAAGCTTGAAAGGGAAAATGTGTTGGTACACATATTTTTACCAAAATAAATTTTACAAAAGAATGGATGGGTCTATGTTTAGATGGATGGATGAGTGGATGGATGGATGGATAGGTGAGTGGATAGATGAGTGGATGGATAAATGGATGGATGGTTGAATGAATGAATTAATTTGCTATAATGCGTTGAAAGAGCTCAGAATTAGAATAGCTGGGCCAAAACCAGTTTCCATCCCTTACTAGCTGAGGTCTCTGGACAAGCCCTTTAACCCCACTGAGCCTTAGTTTCTGCATCTGAAAAATGGGGATAGTAGGAAAACTTCCCTCATGGGGCTGCTGTGGTGATCGAATGAATGACAAAGGGGCGTGTTTAGCCCAGCGCTGACACACAGGAGGCTCTCGATAAACACTAGTTAGTATTGTTGTTGTTACGTGCTGTCAAGTTGGTTCCGACTCATAGCGATCCTATAGGACAGAGTGGAACTGCCCTATGGGGTTTCCAAGGAGCAGCTGGTGGATTTGAACTGTTGACCTTTTGGTTAGTGGCCGAGCTCTTAACCACTTACTACTAGTATTGTTGCCCGTTACTATTATGCTCAAACAAGAACAATAGGGAGACAGGTAAAAGAAAGGTGGGCCAGTTTCTTCTCCTGTCTTTGCCTTCCCACCCTGAGCTCTGGGCAGGGGTCAGCTTTTGCCCAAGGGAGGAAAGTGTGGCTTCTGTTGTAAAGCCAGGTCACTTCTGAGCAGGTAAGAGGGCAGAGGTAAGGCAAGGGGGAGGAGGAGGCGGCAGAGCAAAGGGGAGACAAGTGCATTCTGATGAAGCCTTCTGTGATGGTTAATTTTATGTGCCAACTTGGTGAGGCTATGTTTTCCAGCAGTTTGGCCAAACACTAGTCTAGATGCTGTCATGGAGTAGTTATATGTGATTAAATCAATTGGCCTTAGGTAGAGCAGATTACCTTCGTGATGTGATATGATGTGTTGTAACATAATGTAATTACTTTCCATAATGTAATATAATGTAATGACCTTCTACATTTCAATCCAATGCAATATCATGTAATCCCTTTCCATAATGTAATCTAGTAATCAATCAATCAGTGTAGGGTGGATCCTAAACCTAATCACTTCTGAGTTATAAAAAGACCAGAATATACACAGAGACACACACATAGGCGAAGACAGACAACATGTGATGACTGTCAATAAGAAAAGAACACCAAAGACTGTTAGCAATCACCAGGAACTAGGAGAGAGGCTCACAGAAAGAATAGACATGGCCAAGACTCTGATTTGAACTTTCAGCCTCCAAAACTGTAATAAATTTCTGTTCTTAAAGTCACCCACTGTGGTATTTGTGTTACAGTAGCACCGGAGAACTAAGACACCTTCCCTCTCCCAATAGGCTCCAGACAGCAAGGCAGGTGAGCAGGCTCCAGGAGTATTTCAAACCCCAGTCCCTGAGAAGGAGGTGAGGCTGAGCAGCGAAGGGAGGCAGGGAGCGAGGGAGGAGGCTGGCTGGGCCCAGAGAGGGTTCATGCTCACCCTCACAGATGCGAGTGTCTTCATTCAGGTGGTATCCAGGTGGGCATTCACATTGGAAGCTGCCGAAGGTGTTGACACAGTCGCCCCCCTGGCATAGGCCCGGCAGGTCCTGGCACTCGTCGATGTCTATTAGGAAGTGAGGAAGCCGTGATTGGAGGCTAAACCCAAGCAGAGGACTCAGGGGGTACCTGTACCCTGACCTGGACTCTTGAAGGCCCTGCAGGAGCCAGCCCTGCTCCTTCAAAGATCCCTGAAGGCCATCTCATAGCTGTTAGGCATCTGGAGGGCTCAGGCCAGGATCTCCCTTCAAAGCTGGACCCAGACTCTGTTAGGTCAATGTTACCCTGAATTCATCCCCTTTCCTCTCATCTGATAGCTATGTATCACATAGTTCCCTTTGGATGAAATGCCTTCTCCAATCTCATAATTTCCTGTGAATAGAAGGATGGAAGGATGGATGGATGGATGGGTGGGTAGGTGGGTGGATGGATGGATGGATGGATGGATGGATGGATGAGTGAGCAGATGGATGAGTAAGCAGATGGACAGACGGATGGACGTGTGGATGGATGGATGGATGGATAGATGGATAAGTGGATGGATAGATAGATGAGTGGATGAGTAGATGGATGGATAGGTGAATGGGTGGTTGGATGGATATGAAAAGTAGTGGATGGCTGAATAAGCAAGTGGGTGAATGGAGAAGATAAATGAGTAGATGGATGGATAGGTGGGTAGAAGGATGGAGGGATGGATCATAATCCAACAAGTGGAAAAAGAGATAGCTAATAGACAAAAATTCATCACAAACTTATAGTCCAATCCTGCTGCCTGGCCCCAGGCAGGAGGATCTTAGCATCTGCAAAGCTGCCCAATTCTGCACGTTGGTGTGGTGATGAGAGAAAGGCCAATGAGCAGGTGGAGACGGATGACCTGCCAGAGCTCACCTTCCAGAATGACAGTGATAGGGTTGGGCCGGAAGCCCTCACCACCAGGGCACAGGGTTCTGTACTCAGCTGCAAGGGAAATAGGCTTTTGTGAGGGTCTGTGGGATAAGGCCTTTGGACAGAGCCCAGGGGAAGCAAGGGAGGGGAAGGCCCCCAAGAAGGGTCCAAGAGTGGGCCCCATCCCTCAACTGCACCTGCTACATCTTTGTCCTTCTCCACTTATCTCCCTGGCCTCTAGGAACCAAGAGACCTTGCCCTGTCCTGGGGCTGCCTGGAGAACCAGCATCTGAGTTTGTGTGTGTGTGTAAAGATGTGCTCACATACAACCTGTGAGCAGATAAATCACGTGGTAGTGGCTGAGAGTGGAAGAGGGGGGGTGATTCTCTCTGATCCAAAACCAGGCCCTAGTGTGACTGTAAGTTTCCCCATGAAAGGCAGACATGTGACATTCACACATGCACACTCCTGAACTGGTGGACACAGCGCCTCCTCGTTTCATACTTCAGGCCTTTGCACATGCTGTTTCCACTGTACCACACATCCTTCTTCCTACTGCCTGGAAAACTCCTACTCATCCTTCAAAGCCCCCTTCCTGAGCCCCCCTCCTCTCTGCACCTTTCTCCTGCATCATCGCTGTGTCTCAAACAGACCCACAGGGGACTCCACCCTCACAGTCCCGGGGCCGCTGGCTTGTGCGAGAGCTGCAGTGTGCAGCAGCTATGGCTCCTCCTTTTCTGGGTGCTCAGCTACTAGCATACAGCTCAGAGGAAGCCGTGGAGTGTTTGTTGACTGAGTGAGTGAGTAAACACACAAACACACAAGAGAAGAATTTGCAGAAAGACCTTGGGGAGAGGCCAGATGATGACCTGAGAGACTGTGCTGTGTGACCCAGGAAGAGTCCCTCTCCCTCCCTTCTCGGTGTCTCTGTCACCAAAGCCCCCCAGCAGAGATGACTTCCTCCCCATCCTCCTCACAGGGACTCACTGGTGTTGGCCGTTGCGCACAGCTCACAGGGGTTGCCCCAGGCCTGGCCCAGGGAGCAACAGCAGGAGGCACGGGTGACACCAACCCCTATCTCAGCACCGCAGGAGATGCCCCCGTCCCCTCGGTCATGCGTGTCCAGGAAGCAGTTCCCGACTCGGGTGTCTACGCAGGCAGAAGAGTGGTTAGCAAGGGGCAGAGGGGAAACAGTGTGTGTGACTGTGTGTGCGCACGCACGCTTCTGTAGGCATGACTGTGTGTGCATGCTTCTGGGTGTGACTGTGCATGCATGTGACTGAGTGTACATGGGACTCTCTCAGAGCGTGTGACTCTGCACGTGTGACTATGCGATGGTACGTGCATGAGTGTGGCTGTGTCTGCATGTAACTATGTATGCATGATTGGGTGTGTGACTGTGCATGAGTGTGACTGCGTGTGGGACTCTGTATGTGACCGTACGGGTGTGTGCCAGCACATGACTGCATGCATGTCACCACGTGTGTGTGACTGTGTGTGCACGTGATTGTGTGTGTGTGCATATGACTGTGTGTGCCTATGTGTGACTGTGTGTACGTGTGATTGTGCATGCGTGCAACTGTGTACAACTGCGTATGACTCTGTGTGCATGTGACTCTGTGTGTGTGTGGTACACGGGTGTTTCTGAACATGTGGACAAGGAAGCCCACCCAGGCACCAGTCGAGGGAGATGTACGTGTGTTTCAGGGACGAAAGGTGCATGTGAACAGGTGGCAGGGACGACCACTCTGGCTGGGGCCAGCAGACGTCCTGTTTGTCAAGAGCAGGTGTATGTGGACAGGCTGCGGTCCCACCCAGCTTCACCTGACCTCAGAGCCCTGGCCCAGAGCCCAGGGTGGACTCACCCACACAGCCCACCCCGCTGGGGTTCAGCTCAAAGTCCGGGGGGCAGTTGCAGAGGTAGCTGCTGGGGGTGTTGACACACAGGCCGTTGATGCAGTTCACGGGGTCTGCACACTCGTTGACATCTGCAGGGGGCACTGTTAGCTGGAAGCCTCCCTCAGCCCACGTCCCTCCATATTTGGCAAGACTGAGTCCTTCTTTGGAAAGAAAGCCTGAGAGGACAGGACCCTCCGGAATCTTCCCTGCACTCATCCAACCTTATCCCTCCCTGACTGTTCCACTTGGCATGGAGGTTTGTACCTTAAAGCTCTCCCTGCCCCAGGGTCCACAGACCCAGCCTACGAAACCAACATTTAGAAAATGCTTCCAAACCAGGGGTCAGCAAACCACAATCCAAGGACCAAATCCGGCCCATCACTTGATTCTGTTGATAAAGTTTTACTGGCACACAATCACACCCATTTGTTTACGTATTGTCTATGGCTGGTTCCGAGGTACAACCCCCAAGTTGAGCAGTTGTGACAGAGACCATCTGGCCCTCAAATCTGAAAAATATTTACTCTCTGGCCTTATACAGAGAAAGTTTGTTAACTTCTGTTCGAAACAGATGGGACACCACTACGGATCAGAGCAGAGTCCATGGGTAGAGCAAATGGTTAACGTGCTCGGCTGCTGACTTAAAGATTGGAGGTTCAAGTCCACCCAGGGTCACCTCAGAAGAAAAGCCTGTTGATCTACTTCTGAAAAACCAGCGATTGAAAACTCTATGGAGCGCAGTTCTACTCTGACACACACGGGGTCGCCATGAGTCGCAATCGACTTGATAGCGAGTGGTTTACAGGTGGCTGAGGGAGCACTTTTTCATTCATTCTGCGATATCTTTTCAGGTGATAAGAGGCGAGTGAAGCAGGTAACAGGAAGGGGCATGGGAGCGGGTGATAGGGAAAGGTGTCCCCAGGAGGCAACCCGGGAGAAAAGACCTGAGGACAGGAAACGATGAGCTGCGCCCCACCTCCACTCCTTCACCCCCTAGCCCGGCCAGCCCCACACCTGTGCAGTTGCCACCGCCTCGATCCAGCTCGTAGCCGTCATCACAGATGCAGTGGAACATTCCAGGCAGATTCTTGCAGCTCCCGAACACGCAGAGGTTCCCGAGAGCACACTCGTCCATGTCTGCGGGGACCACAGGTCAGCCTGCCAATGCCCGCAGCCTGCCCTTGCCCGCCTGCTTCCATCGCGCCAGCCCCAGCCCTCACCCTGGCAGGCCCGGTGGTCCTTGGTGGGCTGGAAGCCCATCTCACACTCGCAGCGGTACCCGCCGGGGGCATTGAGGCACTGCCCATTCTCACAGAGGTCCATGTCGTCTGCACACTCGTCCCTGTCTGAGGGGCCCCGGGAGGCAGAGGGCTGTGATCAGCTGGGCCAGGAACCACCACACAGGGTGGGCAGGGGGCCCTGAGAACTCTTCACCATCACCCTGGTGCCCGGGGGCAAGCAGGCGGCCCTGGACACTCAGACCACCCAATGTGGGCAGATGAAAGAATCAGGGCCCCAAGGGGCAGGCAGGCGTCCCTGGACACTCAGAACCTCTCCGGTGGGCAGACAGGTGGCCTGGCCACTCCAGATCCCAGGGAGCAAGTGGGCGGCCCTGCTCACTCTGACTCCAGCCAGTGGGCAGACAGGGGAGCTGGTCACTCAGAGCAGCCCTGACCACTCCAATTACTAGGTAGTCACAGTGTCCCTGCTCCCCACACCTGAAGGCTCCAGGCATTTAGAGTCCAGGGAGGAGACAGCCCCAGTGGCTCGGTACTGGCCCCATGGGCTGAAGCTGCATCCTTTCCCTCCAGCACCATGGGGCGGTGGTGGGTGAGGTGTGTTGGGAGACACACAGCGGATCCCGGCCCCCCAGACCATCCCTCTGGGGCCCCTGTCCCCCCCTGCCCAGGTCTCACCATTGCAGGAGAAGCCGTCCCCAGTGAAGCCCTCGTGGCAAGCGCAGTGGTAAGAGCCAGGGGTGTTGAGGCAGGCAGCGTGCGGGCTGCACCGGTGTTCCTGCAAGGTGCACTCATCCCGGTCTGCGGGAGACGTGGGCAGGTGCCTCAGGAGGCTGGAGGGACGCAGACTCGCCCACCCCGACCCTGACCGTCACCCACCAACAGCCCTGGGCCCGGCCGTCCTCCGGACCCTGCCCCCCACCCAGCTCCTCAGCTCTGCCCACACCCCCTGCCCCAGGCACTCACCGTGGCATTCGAAGCCATCCCCCACCCAGCCTGGCTGGCACCTGCAGCTGAAACTCCCGGGGACGTTGAGGCAGGAGGCGTGACTGTCACATCTGTGTTCCCCCAGCTCACACTCGTCCACATCTGAGGGGAGAGGGACAGCGCAGTGGAGGAACCTGTCACAGGAGGGGCAGGACCAGGGCAGGGGGTGGGAGGACACTCGGCACTCCCGTGAGCCCCAGGTCTAGAGGAAATAAGGCTTCAGTAGGGGTGGGGAGGCTCGGTGCAGCAGCAGTGGGAGGAGTAAAGATCCTCCCTAGCAGGGGGCTGACCCAGAGAGCCCCCAACCCGCCCTGAGAGCCCAGGAGTAAAACTCAAAAACCCAACAGCCATAACTCCTAGCAGTCCTCACGAAATGGTCTGAAATGGCAGCATGAGAGACTTAGGGTAGATAATAAGAGGAACTGTATCCTAACGTGCCCCCTCTAAACCAGCTTTTCCAAATCCTCTAAGTCAGCGCTCTACCACCCGCATCACTTCTGCAATTTTCATACACCACATGATTGGGCTACCATTTACCAAGCATTCATTCGCTTAAACTGTCTCCTGTTTTTACTTAAAGTATTTTAATATTTTATATCAATAGCTACAATATCTCTGAAGCAAAAAATCCGATGCTCTGTTTTGCAACATTTGTTTCTAGTCCACGTTAAAAAAAACTGTGTAACATTTTAAAAGGTTCTTCCTGTATCACTTACAATCATTAGGCTTGCAAGTCCCTGAGTAGTACAAACGGTTAACTGCTCCGCTGCTAACCTCAAGTTTGGCGCTTCGAGTCCCCCCAGAGGCACCTCAGAAGAAAGGACTGCTGATCTACTTCCGAAAAATCAGTCATCGAAAAACCTATGGAGCGCAGTTCTACTCTGACACACATGGGGGCACCATGAGAGGAAATGGACTCTACAGTAACTTTTTTTTTGTTTTTTTTGCATGCTCTGCTAATGCTGTTGTGGGCACTTCAGGCTCCAGGGCTAAGATGCTAGCAGTGAGGAGACCCCTTTCCCCCAGAAAAACCAAGCCAGTTGCCACGGAGTCGATTCTGATTTATGGTGATCCTATGTGTATCAAAGTAGAACTGTACTCCATAGGGTTTTTAAGACTGTGACCTTTCAGAAGCAGATCGCCAGGCCTTTCTTCCGGGATGTCTCTGGGAGGGTTCAAATCCTCAACCTTCAGTTAGTAGTTGGGCACTTAATCATTTGCGCCACCCACGGACAAGGGGAGCTCAGAGGTATTTATCTGGTCCCCCTTCCTTCTAACTTGAGGCACCATCAGTGGAGATCTGCAAGAACAGTGTCTGGCCACGCTCCGACCCCAGGGATGGCGGGCAGACCTTGTGACCTGAGCTGGCCCCTTGGGGTCTCTGCCCCTGCACTGCTGATGCCCGCCAGCTCACCAGAACAGCCCGTGGCCCCCTTCCTGACGATGTAACCCTGCTGGCAGTGGCAGATGAAAGAACCCTTTGTGTTCTTGCAGTTCCCGTGGAGGCAGATGTGGGGGTTCAGGTCACACTCGTTCATGTCTGTGGGGGAAGAGGACAAGTGGGAGAGGGCTTGGTGCTGGGCTGAAGGGGTAGAGGGCAAGAGGGGGCATCAACCCTGTTGAGTGTCCTGGCCCCACGAAGCCTTCTGCTGGGGTTCTATGGGCGTGTCCCCAGGGGCGGCAACTCCCTCTGTCCTACCTACAGGCAGCTGTGAGGATTATGTCAGCACGACACAGAGCATGCACTAGGCTCCAGAAAGGACCTTACAGTCAGATTAGTTTAGGGAACACTGGGTTAAACAAACCTAACTGGGTTTTTCTACCGCAGGACTTGTCAGAGCCTTGGTGGCAACATGCCCAGCGAAACTGCAAGAGGGATGTGGAGTACACAGCATTTCCTAAATGCATGCAGTCACAGGGCCCTTCCCCTAACTGCTTGCCAAGACTCCTGTGAGCTGGAACTCTCTACAATACACTGGGCTGGACAATTCTTTACAGGAAATTAAAATTTGACTTTCTGGTCTCAGCTCTGCCCCGATGGGGCACTCAGGACACATCCGTTTCCCAGGCCCTGGGACAACCTGCTCCCAAGTGAGGACGGTGACTGCTCATGCCACCTGTCCTGTGATGTCCTGCCCCTAGGTGGGGACGGTAACCACACACCATGATGACCTGCCGCCAGAGAGGCCAGCAACCACCTGCCCCGTGACGACCTGCTGCCAGGTGGGGGTGATGACTACCTGCCCAGATGGCCCAGGGTCTTCAGTCAGAGCCCCGAGAACACAGCTCCGAGTCTGTTCCCCATCTTGGCCACCCTCCTCTACATAAAACCCCTTCACCTGCGCTGATCTAGAGGCAGGGGTTGCCTGGACTGGGCCGCGTTCTGGCCTGGCAGACACCTCCTCCTTCCCGACCCCAGGCAGTGGGAAGGGACATAGAACCCCTTCATCTGCACAGATCTTACAGTGCAGCCTCAGAAGAAGGAGGACCCTCCCATACATGTTGGGGAAAGGTGTGTGCTCGTGATGGATTGAATGTGTCCCCCACAAAGACATGTTGAAGTCTTAACCCCTGTACCTATGAATGGGACCTTGTTTGGGGAAACAGGGTGTTGTTTGGAAGATATTATTGGTTAGGTGGACAGGAGGTCATATGGAGCAGGGTGGGTCCCACCCACTTCCGAGTGGTGTCTTATAAAAGAGGAGAACGGATGTGGAGAGGAAGAGAGAAGACAGACGCCATGTGACGCTATGTCTACAAGCCGAGGAATGCCAAGGATTGCCGGCAGCCACCAGAAGCTGGGGGAGGCAGGGAACGGATCTTTTCTCACAGCCCTCTGAAGGAATTGACATGGCTGACACCTTGATTTGGCCTCCCGGCCTCCAGAACTGTGAGATAGTAAGCGTCTATTCCTTCAAGCCCCCTGCTTTGTACATTGTGTTATGGAAGCCCCAGGAAACTCACTGTTCAATACCGAAATCAAAAGAGAAGAGGTGCGGGTGACTCTACTTCTGTGAATGAGATCCCATGGCTTTAGGGTACAGGCTCAGGCTCTGATGGTTCCCGGAGCTGACTGCCAGCCAGAAACCCAAAGATGTTTCCAAGTGCTGTTGGTGTCTGTCTGTCCTCCCATGAGCTACGTCACTGCCTCCTCAGCCCCCCGCCAGGTTCTCACCAGCACACGTCCTCCGGTCCAGGGTGGCCACAAAGCCATCATAGCACAGGCAGCGGTGACCGCCTGGCACATTGGAGCACTGGCCCCCGTCACAGATGTCTGGGTCCTCTTCACACTCGTCCACGTCTGGGGAGCAGGGACAGGAGCCAGGTGCAGATGGGCACGGACGGAGGGAGAGCCCCAGGTCCCTCCCGCAGGCTGAGCAGGGGTGCCCGGGCTCTGGTCTGGGCAGAGCCAGGCCAGGCTGGGGCTCAGGGGACGTCCCCTCCTGTCCCCCGTCCCAGGCGGTGGGAGGGGGTCATGCCGACCCACCTGCACACGCCCTCCCATCGGGCATCAGTGAGTAGCCCTGGCCACAGCTGCACTGGTAGCTGCCCTCGGTGTTGACACAGTGCCCATCACACCCGCCGTTCCCCACGTGGCATTCGTTGATGTCTGTGAGGGGCAGGGTGGAGACAGAGGGCTGGGGCTGCGGTTGGGGTCAAGGCAAGGGTTGGGACAGAGCTGGGGCTGATTTGGGGGTGGGTGGGGTCCGGAGCTGACTGCCTGTTGCAGCTGAGGTGGGGCCACAGTCGGGGCTGGGGTCCGGTGGCACAGCCTCACCCTCGCAGCCCTGGCGGTTGGGTGTGCTCTGGAAACCAGCGTGGCAGGCGCACCGGAAGGCTCCGATGAGGTTGACGCACCGGCCGTGAGGGCACAGGCCAGCCTGCAGGGCGCACTCGTCGACATCTGTGGGGACACACAGCTGGGGGCCCAAAGGAAGGGGGGCCCATACCCCCCTTTTGCCCTCTATGTGACCACAAGAGCCACTCAGACCATCCGCAAGAATGTCTGCCCCACGGGTGCCTGTCCATGCACTCACAGTCACACCCTCCACCCACTCCCGTGCAAACACTCATCCTGTGTACACACACATTCACACCCAGATACAGACTCACAATCACACCACCCACTCCCATGTGAACACACTCGCCTCGTGTAAATGTACATATTCACACCCATCTACACTCACACCCATATGCACGCTCACGGACTCACATACAAACACACCCTCTACTTACACACTCACCTCATGGGGATGTACACACTCACACCCATGTGCACACTCACACATTCACAAACACACCCTCCACCCAATCCCATATGAACACACATGCCCTGTGTGGACGCACATTCACACCCAGGTACACACACCCATGTGCACTCACACAGACTCACAAACACCTACTCACACACACATTCATCTCTTGTGTAGACATAAATTTACACCCAGGCACACACTCACACCCAAATGCATGCTCAAAGAGACTCACAAACACCCACTCATACACAAGCACACTTGCCCTTGTGTAGACACATACTTTACACACCCACTCATACCAACACCTTGAACGCACTCTCACATGAACACACTCACCCTGTGTAGACCCACACTCACATCCAGGTACACATTCACAGCCTCTTACACGCTCCCACAGACAACACACCTCACACCCACTCACACGCAAACACACATGCCCACACACTGGCATACACACTCACACGCAAACACACTTGCCCTTGTGTAGATGTCCATTCACATACACATTCCCACTATTTTGCTCCCACACAGTTACACTTCACACACACACTGACGCACACTTGCTCTTCCATTTGCTCACTCACACCCACTCCTATGATCTCGCTCATGCAACCGTTCGACCCACTCACAGATACACACTAACAACCACTTGTACTCACACCCAGACACAAAACCATACACCCCCCACTCTCACGCATACCAACTGCGCCCTCTCACGCATGCACACTGGCTGCACACTCACCCTCACAGGCAGTGCCCTTGGCCGTCAGCTCGTGTCCAGGGGGACAGTGGCACTTGTAGCTCCCATCTGTATTGATGCAGCTGCCGCCCCGGCAGAGCAGTGGGTCCCGTGCACACTCATCCACATCTAGGCGTGTGGACAGAGAGACAGAGGTGAAGATGCCAACCTTCCCAAGGTGGGGTGATGTGGCTTCTGGAAGCCACCCACCCCAAAAGAAGCCAGGAGAATCTGGAGGCTCAGGGCTGGATGAGCCAGAGGAGCCCAGTCTGAACTGGGAAGAGCAGGGACAGGTCATATGGGGAGGGAAGCAGGAATTCTCAGGAGAATCAGGCTGCGAGGCCAACACTCCTGCTGTTACTGAGGAGGTCCTGAGGGGCCCCCACAGGACCCGTGGGAAGCCAGGGCCCAGTCCTGCCAGGTATCAGGGCAGGGAGCAGATTGCCAATCATGCCTCCTTCTATCCCTCAGGCTCACCCCAAGGCCTCTGCACATGCCTGGCTCTCCTCAGAGTGGCTCCTTCCATCCTTCCAGCTCCCACCCCAGGGCCTTTGTACACGCTATTCTCTTTCAGCGGTACTCTTTCTGCCCCTCTTCACCTCGTTTACCCCACTCTTCTCAGTCACCTCCTAAAGACCCACAGAATGGGACATGTGTCCCGGGTCCACACTCCCAGCAACCACATGGCCCTCTTGAGTGCGTCTGGCAGAGGCAACTCCCCATTTCTTTGGGGATGTATTTTATTACCGTAGGTCTCCCCCAGTAGGCTGTGAGCACCCAGAAGACAGAGCCCTGCCTCTTGAGCTCTCTGCAGAGCCCAAGCTCAGTCAACGTGCATAAAATGTTTATCTATCTGGAAATGCCCTAATTTTGCCATCATATTTGAGAGATAGTTTTGCTAGATATATGATTCTTGGCTGGCAATTTTTTTCCTTCAAGGCTTTATATATGTCATCACATTGCCTTCATGCCTGTATGGATTCTGCTAGGTAGTCAGAGCTTAGTCTTATTGACTCTCCTTTGTAGATGACTTTTCACTTATCCCTAGCCACTCTTAAAATTCTCTCTCTTTGGTTTTGGCCAGTTTGATTATGTCTTGGTGACTTTCTTTTGGGATCTGTCTTGTGTGGGGTTCGATGAGCACCTTGGATAGATATGTTCTCATCTTTCACAGTTTTCTTCACAGGGAAGTTTTCTGCCAACAAATCTCCAACAAGTCTTTCTGTATTTTCTGTTATCCCCCCCTTGTTCTGGTACTCTAGTCACTTGTAGGTTATTCCTCTTGATAGAGTCCCACTTGATTCTTAGTGTTTCTTTCTTTTTTTAATTCTTTTATCTGATTTTTCCTCAAATAAATTGGTGTCGAGTGCTTTATCTTCGATCTCACTAATTCTGACTTTCATTGCCTCAATTCTGCTCCTACGACTTTCTATTGAGTTGTTTAATTCTGAAATTTCATTGTTAATCATTTGGATTTCTGTTTGCTGTCTCTCCATGGATTCTTGCAGCCTGTTAAATTTGTCATTATGCTCTTGTATAACCTTCTTAAGTTCCTCTATTGCTTTATCTGTGTGTTCCTTGGCTTGTTCTGCGATTTGAATGATCTCCTTCCTGATCTCTTGAAAAGTTCTGTATATTAATCTTTTGAATTCTACCTCCAGTAAGTCCAAGAAATTTTCTTCCTCCAGAAGGTTTCTTGATTTTTTGTTTTGGTGGCTTGCTTAAAATGTTTGTTGAATGAATTAAAAAAAAAAGTAGTTTAGCCTAATTAGAAAAAGAATGTCTCTATTAAGCATTATGCTCTTTAAAGAGCTATCAATATATGAACAAACTGACAACAGCAACTCAGAAGGATAGATGAGAAGTTTAAGGGGGCAGTGAGTTTGTGATAATGACGGTGAGATAGTTTGGAAAAGATTGTCAAGAAAGGTGGCACAACTTGAAGAATGTAACCAATGTTGCTGAATCATACATGTAGAAATTGTTGAAGTGGTGTATGTTTTGTTGTGCATATTTTCACCTCCAACAAAAAATTAACTAATTAAAAAAAATGAATAAAAAAGTGAATGATGGGTGGCAAGAGGCCCCTTAAATGCTGGTGCCTCCCAGGCTTCTAGAACTCTCCTAGGCTCTCGCCTCTCCTCCCACTACACTCTCCCAGGGAGACCTCACCCACCCCCAATGCGCTGGCCCCTCCTAGGCCTTGGTCTTCAGGCCTCCCTCCTGGGTGCCAGACCTGGGGGATGACTCCCCATACCCCTGACTCACTGAGACCCAGCTGCACCACAGCTTCTCCCACACCTGCCCCTCCTCCCATGTCCATCACAGCAACCTCCCCCCTGCAGCCTTCCAGTCCATCTTGCATGCCCCTCCCCCAGATGCCCACCTCCCACTGCCACAGAGGAAAACCCTTCCACCTTCACAGGCCCCCTACCCATGCAGTTCTTCATCAGCATGAAGCCGCTCTCATAGCCGTGGAAACACTTGCACTCGAAGCTGCCTGGGGTGTTGACGCAGGTGCCCTGGCCGCAGAGGTCTGGGGAGATGCGGCACTCGTCGATGTCTGTGGGAGAGGAACGCAGGGGGTGGGGTCTGTGCACACGAGGGGACACAAGCCGGGGTGGGGGGGGAGACCTGTCTATGCACAGGAGAGGACACGAGCCGGGGGGGTCTGTCTGTGCACGAGGGGACACAGGCAAGTGATTTGTATCTGCGGACACACAGGGTGTGGGCCAAGGGGTCTGCATCTCAGGACACAGGAAGGCCTGGGCCAGGAGGGTCTGCGTCTATAACACCAGGGGGACGCAGGCCAAGGGGAGGGAGGGTTTGTGCACATGAGGAGGCATGGGCCAGGGGTCTCCATGCCTGTAGATACGAGGAGCTGCATGGGAGGCCCAAGATTTGGAGCCAAGAAATAGAGGTGCCTCAACTGAACACGTGGACAAGGGCCCTGAATGTCCTCACAGCTCCTGACCCTTGGAGCCTGGAGGCCTCCGAGGTAGCCTTCGCCAACCCTCCTTTTACAGCAAGGGTCACTGAGGCCCAGACAGGGCGGTGACCTGCTCTGGGCCACACAGCAGGCGGGTAGACTTGATGAGAGCGCCGAAGGCACCACCCCGGCGGCGAGGTGGGATGTACCTGTGCAGTTCCGCTCGCGGGCGTCCAGGGCAAAGCCCCCAGCGCAGGCACAGCGGAAGCTGCCCACGGTGTTGCGACAGGAGCCGTGCGCGCACAGGCCCGGAAACGCTTTGCACTCGTTCACGTCTAGGGGCAGAGCACAAACCTGACAGCTGCGCCACCGGCGGACTCCAAGCCCTTCCTAGTCCTTAGCTGCCAGCTCTCTCATCCCCTCATACAGAACATGCGCGTCCTCCTCAGACGCCCAGCCAGCTCCCAGACACACTCCACCTTCAGCCTTCGGGCAGGCTGGGCCCCTGACCAGCCCTACCACCCCCAGCAGCATCCACTGCAGACCCCTCCACCGGTCCTCCACCTCCCAGCAAACCTTCCCCCAGGTCCCTTGACCCTCCCTCCCACCACCCAGTGGGCCTCCTCTGCTGACCCCTCCACCAGCCCACCTTCTGCTGGCCCCGCCCACCTCCCGGCAGCCCCGCCCACTTCCTGGCAGGGCGTTTGACCACCCCGCCCATCTCCTGAGGCCCCATGCAACACCCAGCGGCCCACCCCCTCCCAAAGCCCCGCCCCAGAGGCCCGCCCACCGCCCCACCCCGCCCCCTCACGCGCCGCAGACGCCCCGCCCTCGCGCACCTTTGTAGAAAGGCCTGCCTGGTAGGAAATCCCGGCTGGCAAAGCCTAGCCCCCGCGGGCACAGGCTGGTGAACTCCGGGGAGCCGGGCCCCGGGCAGGCCTCGCACTCGGCGCCCCATGCGGCCCCGACGGAGCAGCAGCAGACGTCCAAGCGGTACTTGCCGGGCAGGGGGGCCCCGCACTCGTCCTCGTCCCAGCGCAGGAAACACGGCTCCAGACGCACGTCTGCACGGGGGACAGTCACCGGTGTCGCCGCCACACACGACGAGGCAGCGGCACTAACCTGAAACTTCCTCCTCCACAGTGGATGGATGTGCAATGGATTGAATTGTGCCCCCTCAAAATGTACGTGGAAGTCCTAAGATATATTTAGGTGTTATGAATTGAATGTGTCCCCTCAAAATACATGTGGAAGTCCTAACCCCTATAACTATGAATGTGACCCTGTTTGGAAATAGGGGTTTTCTTTTGTTATGTTAATGGAGCCATACTGCAGTCAAAACCAGTTGCCCTTGAGTCCATCCTGACTCATGGCGCCCCTATGTGTGTCAGAGTAGAAAGAACTATGCTCCCTAGGGTTTTCAGTGGCTGATTTTTCAGAAGTAGATTGCCAGGCCTGTCTTCCGAGGTACCTATAAGCATCTATAAGCAGCAAAGGAACACCATGGATTGCTGGCAGACGCCAGAAACTAGCAGAGAGGTCCGCAGAAGGAATCGACATGGCCGAGACCCTGATTTGGACTCTCAGCCTCCAGATCTGTGACAAAATAATTTTCTGTTCTTGAAAGCCACCCACTTCGTGGCATTTGTCATGGCAGCCCTAAACTAAGGCAGATAGGAAGAGTGAAATGGGAGGGACTTCCTGCTATGATTCAATGTCATCACACGATGACATTTAAATAATAGCAACTCACACTGCTATGGTGTTTACGGTGTACCAGGCATTGTTGTAAGCTCATCAGCTCATTAATAATGTTTAATTCTCAAAATCACACGAAGAAGACAATACTATTATCACACCCATTTTGCAGGCAAGGCTAAGGCACAGAGAAGTTAAGTAACTTGTCCAAGGTCACACAGTTAGTAAGAGGTAGCTCCAGGGTTCAAACCCAGGCTGTGTGGCTCCAGATTCCATGTGCTTAATCCGTTAACCTCCCTCAGAACAATCCAATAACAGCCAAGTCTTCCTCATCACCAGAGTTGAGGGTATAGGATAGGAATTGGCAGATTATAACCTATGGGCTGGCCGCCTGCTGTTGTAAATAAAGCTTTACTGGCACATTCACGCTCATTCATTTATACGTTGTCTGTGGCTGCTTTTGAGCAGCTGCAATGGAGACCGTCTGGCCCACAAAGCTGAAAATATTTACTCTGGTCCTTTATAGAAAATGTCTGCCAACCCCTGGTCTAGGACCACTAGTAGTACGAAAGTAACACATTCAACTGGATAAATTTGAGAATGAAACCCTGTTACAGAATTTCTAGAATAAATCAAAGTGCCAAGGCATACACAGGGACCCTTCTTAGGTCCTCTTGTACCCAGTGCCTTGGTCCAGGACCAAGCTTTACAGCTGACCAGAGACGCCAGAGTTAGCACCTCCCGAATTAAGTGCAGGGTCTCCTGTGATGAAATGTCTCTTTTCTCTTTCGTTGGCCACATTTTGGGGTCAGTGAGAAGACCTACTGAAACCCAGTTTGGAAGGAAATTGAAGTTGAGAGGGTCATTGGAACCCATCTGCCAAGGGCGGACTATCTCCATTGCTCCCGCAAAGAGGCTACAAATGGGTTGATGGAACCGTGGAAGGAAACACTGAGGCCAAGAAAAGGCTGGAGAAAGCCAGTGACCCTGCCTGAACAAACACAGGGACCAGGAAGAGAAAAGATCCCCACCAGAGAGAAAGAAACAGCCGACACGTAAGGGACTGGTTCCCAACCAGCTGTAATTTTGACCCTCAGTGACCACTGGAACCAATGACGGTCCTATCTCGGGCGCGGGGTGAGGCTGCTCCTGCCCCCCAGTGGGTGGAGGCCAGGGATGCTGCTCAGCACCCTACAGTGCACAGGGCAGCCCCAAAGCAAAGAAAGATCCAGTTCAAGGTATCAAAATAACGGCAAAGTCGAGAAACCCTGATCTAGGGGGAAAGTATCTTGGAGCCTCTGACCTTGAGGGAAAGCCATTAAGGGTAAGCTTTGGGCCCCTTGAGACCGGGTGAGATTCACAGGCAAGGCTAAAGGCCCCCACATGCATCGCAGCACTGCTATGAAAGGGGCTTTGTCCTCAAATCCACCCCGAAGTGTAAACCTTATTTGGAATCCCTGGGTGGTACAAACAGTTAATGCACTCAGCTGCTAACCGAGAGGCTGGAGGTCCAAGTCCACCCAGAGGTGCCTCGGAAGTAAGGTCTGGTGATCTCCTTCCAAAAAAATCAACCACTGAAAACCCTATGGAGCACAAGTCTACTCTGACACACGGGGGTTGCCATGAGTTGGAATCAACTCAATGGCAACTGCTTGGGATGATGTAAACGGTTAATGTGCTCGGCTGCTAATCGAAAGGTTGGAAGTTCAAGTCTACCCAGAGACACCCTGGGAGAAAGCCCTGGCAATCTACTACAGAAAAATCAGCCATCGAAAACCCTATGGAGCACAGTTCTACTGACACATATGGGGTTGCCAAGAGTTGGAATCCATGCAACATCAACTGGAAAAAAACAGCTTATTTGGCAAAGAGAGAATGAGCCAAAGTTGCAGATACAGTGAAACCTGTAAGGGCCAGAACTCAGTGGGACTGCCTTGTTTTTCCAGGTCTCACAAGTTTTCCGTCTTCGACAGGGTACAGTCTTACTTCTTTTCTCTCGCTCTGTATTCATGGAAAATATTTGTGTTTTCCGTCTCTGAGAGGTTGATGCCTTACGCAGGTTCCAGCTTTTGCAGGTTTTACTGTATTATTATACAAGATTTTTCCTGTTTGCAATGAAATTCTCGGGGTGGGGGGGAGGAAGAACACCCCAGAAAGAAATGAAAAGCAAACACAAACGTCTTCTCGGGCATTGTGGCAGGAGGCAGGAGGTGGACGGGGGCTGGAGGCTCCCAGATGACCCTTAAATCCCTCCTCTTCCTAAGCGGGGTCTCCAGTGGCTGGGAGTAGAGGGGGACAAGGTAATAAAGGAAGGACACGTGGCCCCACCTGGGGACCTGGCCCAGACTCACCCACACACAGCCGGCCCGTGGCATCCAGCGTCAGGCCCTGGGGGCAGTCGCAGCGGAAGGAGCCGGGGGAGTTGAGGCAGCGCCCGTTGGGACAGACCCCAGGGAAGGCTTCACACTCATTCACATCTGGGGGGTGGCAGGCAAGGGGGAGAGGGCAGGGCTGGGGGTGGCCAGGAGTGAGAGGGTGCTGGCTGCCCCCCACTGGGGCTCAGGAAACCCTGGTTGTCCCTGGGGAGGTCACTGGGGGACGGGGAGGGGGCAAGGTCAGCCTCAGGGGCTAGGAAAGGGGAACGTGGAGACCCCGGTGCCGGGGCGAGCAATCTCAGTGTCAATCTCAGGGGCTTCAGGAGGAGCCCAGGCAGCACCCATGACAGGCGCTGGCCCGTGTGGGGGTTCGGGGACGAGCTGGAAGGGGCAGGGCGTTACCTGTGCAGGTGAGGCCCCCTGTGCGTGCAAAGCCCCGGGCACAGGCAGGGTCTGTGTTGGGGACAACATGAGTGGGGACAGGAGTGACTCTCCATCCAGGCCCAGGGACCTCCTCCACCCTCACCCCAACCCCGTTCCTATGATTGGCGCCCAAGCAGGCCATGGCCATGCGTGAGAGGCCCCGACAGGCGTGGCGAAGCTCCAGGGCTCCCAGGGCGTTACCGATCTCGCAGGGCTCACAGGGGCTGCCCCAGGCGGCCCCCAGGGTGGCGCAGCACTCGGCCCGCAGGGTGGCTCCGTGGAGGTTTGCCTCGCAGCAGCTGTCCTGCACCTGCAGCCAGCAGGTGCCCTTGGTGCTGTCTGGGGAGGAAGGCAATCCCGTCTCACCTGTCCGGTGCCACCTGGCCCCACACCTGCGCGCCGACCCAACCCGGGGCAGGATGCCGGGCAGGGTGGGGGTGTCATCGAAGCCCTGCTGGGATGGGGGCCTCTCACCTAGACACACGGTACCAGACGGCCCCAGCCGGCTGCCAGGGGCACACTCACAGGCATAGGAGCCAGCCAGGTTCCGGCACATGCCATTCACACATGGGATGGAGAGGCACTCGTCGATATCTGTGAGGACAGCCCCCCAAACTGGCCCTCAGCTGTGGGAAGGGGAGCCCCACGGGGCCAGGGCTCCCTCTTCCCAGGGACTCATGTCCACATGTATGTGTGAGTGGACGAGGCACACTTGTGTGCACAGAGCGCACGGGAACCCAGTGCGTGTGCGGGCAAGTGGGAGTGGTTCTTCTAGGCACACGTGTGCATGCACACGTGTTCACACTGGGCCCTGCACCCACGCCTGTCTGCCGGCACACAGTCTCACGCACACGCCCAGTGACAAACAGTACAGAGGGGTGGTCATGGCAGGGAGCGGTAACACTCTGGGTGCCAGGTCACAAGAGGGTGGGATGGAGGAGGTAGGGGGGACCAGAGAGGGCGGTGCCTGGAGAAGACGGGGTCCAAGAGGGGAAACACGGAGGGCACTGGGGACCTGGGGACAGAGTGGCACTAGAGTGAGGGGAGGGGGGTGAGGATGGCCAACTGGACAGAATGTGGGGTGAAGGGAGGAGGGAGCGAGGACGCAGGGCTGGGAGAGAGGGGGGCTGAGAGAGAGGGTGTGTGGTTGCTGGTACGTGAGCACACGTCTGTGACGGGGGGCTGCACAATGGGCAAGGACCTCACCACAAGGGTGTGCCTGTGTGTGAGTGTGCATCAGAGTGTGAGTGGTGAGTGGTGGGTCCAAGCAGGTCACTGTGTGCAAGCGTGTGTGACGGGATGGGCAATTGTTTCTGTCTGTGTGAGTGTGTGAGTGTGAGTATATGCATGGGGTAGGAGTGTGTGTGAGTGCACATACCAGTGTACGTCACTGTGTCTGGGACTGTGAGTGTCAGTGTGAGCGTGGGAGTGAGTGAGAATGTGGGTATGTGTGTCTTTGAGTGTGTGCCCATGTGAGTGTGTAACTGCATGGGAGTGTCTGTGACTGCAAGTACATGTATGCAAGTGTGTCTGGATGTGTGTGCCTGTGGGTGAGTGTGTGTACATGTATGTATAACTTGTGGGAGCAGCTCTGAGTATATGTGTGAGTGTATTTGAATCTGGTGAGCTGTGGAACTATGTGAGTGTGAATGTGTAAATGTGTGTGAACATACAAGTGTGTATAAATGTCTTTGAGTGTGTGGCTGTGAGCACATGTAGGTGTGAGAATGAGTGAGTGTGTGAATGAGTATATGTGTGTGTGTGTGTACACGCATATAGCTGTGGGAGCATCTGTGTCGGTACGTGTGTAAATGTATTTGAATGTATGAGTTTGTATAACTGTGTGAGTGCCTCTGAGTGTGTGTCTATCAGCACAAGTGTGTGATAGTGTGAGCATGGGGGAGTGTGTGCCTGTGGGTATATGTGTGCTTGAGTGTGTACCTGTGAATGTGTATAACTGGTTGGGCACATCTGTGAGTGTGAATGCATGTTTAAATGTACTCAGATGTACATGAATGTGTAACTGGGTATGAGTGTGACTGCACACATATGAATATGAGTGTGTGTGAAGGTACATATGAGTGTGTAAGTGCTGGTAACTGTGAGCACACGTGTGTAAAGGTGTAAGAAGGAGTATGAGGATGTGTGGCTGTGTGTCTTGTGTGTGTGCCTATAAGTGTGTCTATCTGGGTGGGAGTACCTGCATGTGAGTGGATGTGTGAAAGTTCCTTGGGTGTGTGTGAATCTGTGTCACTGAGTATAAATGCATGTGTGTGATGCAGGCATACATGTGCATGTCTGTGTGTTCATACCACCTGTGGCATGCCCAGGGCCCCAGACCTTCACAGGTCTCCGTGTCCTGCTGGAAGCTGAAGCCTTGGGGACAGGAGCAGCTGTAGCTGCCAGGGCTGTTCCGGCACCATCCGTTGTCACAAAGGAGGCTGTTGAGGGCACACTCATCCACGTCTGCAGGTGGGGGCAGAGAACAGGTGAGGTCTGCGGCAGGATGCCCCATCTGTCTGCCCATCAGTGGTACACTCACCTATGCAGTCCTTGCCCGCCGTGCCCGCCTCGTAACCCAAGTTGCAGATGCAGCGGTAGCTGCCCCACAGATTTTCGCACATGCCATTGGCACAGATGTCAGGATCCAGGGCACACTCGTTGATGTCTGCAGCAGAAGGAAGTGTCAGCAGCTGCCCCAACCCACCAGGGGCCGGAGGCCAGGGGTCCCCCAGGCCAGAGTTCCAGCTCAGGCCCTGCCCCCTTTCCCTCTAAATCAAGGTTTCCCAACCTCGGCACTACTGGCCTTTGAGGCCAGGTCATTCCTTTCTTCAGGGGGCATCCTGGCCATGGAATCCCTGGGTGGTGCAAATGGTTAACACACTCAGCTGCTAACCAAAAGGTTGGAGGCTCGAGTCCACCCACAGATGCCTTGAAAGAAAGGCCTGAGGATCTACTCCCAAAAACCCAGCCACTGAAAACCCTATGGGGCACAGTTCTACTCTGAACACAGGGGGTTGCCATGAGTCAAGGTCAACTCCACAACAACTGGTTTGGGCTCTGGGCATTGTAGGATGTTGAGTAGCATCCCTGGCCAAAACCCACTCACTGCCAGTAACACTCGCACCCAGCTGTGACAATCAAAAATATCTCCACACACACGGCCAAGTGTCCCCTGGGGGGAGAAACTGAGAACCAGTGGGATGGACATTTATTCAGCAGAAATATAATTAAATATAATAATAATAATCGTTAGCACTTACAGGGTACTTACTATCTTGGGCCAAGCACTCTCCTAAGTACATTAAGTATATTAACTCGTTCGATCTTCCCAACAACCCTGAAACGGGTCCTATTAATAGCTCCATTTTATAAATAAGAAAACTGAGGCATAGAGAGGGTAAGTAACTTGCCCAAGGTTATTCAATTAGTAAACAGCAGGGCTGGGATTTGAACCCACATAGCCTGGCTCCAGGGTCTGTGCCTTTAACAACGGGGACAGAGATCTGAAATCGGTGGAGAATTTGACAGTAGCCCAAGTGCTTTCATCTCTCCACGGGCAGGAAGGCTGAATCAGGAAGGGAGGGAATGTACCTGTGCGCATGTGCACACGTGTGCATGTCGTGTAGAGACATGTGTTTCACATGTGTCTGCATGTGTACATGTGTATGTATGTTGCACATCTCTGTGCATATGCTGAGTGCATGCATTGTACATGTGCCTGTGCGTGTGCCTGCATGTCTTTGTGTGCATCTGTGCATGTAAAGGTTGCATTGCGTGCACACGTGTCCTTGTGTACACGTGCATGTTTGCATGTATGTTTGTGTGCGTATGCATGGGTGTGCGTGCACACATGCACGTGTCATGTCTGTGTCTGATCAGCAAACAAGTGATGAGAAGCACGGATGCATGCAATTTCCTTTTTTTCCACGCTTCAGTTTCACAGCTACAGCACTTTGGGCTGAGACTGGGAGGCCGCAGAAGGGCCAGGGAAGCTGGGGAGCTGGGAGAATCACACAGCAGGCTGCAGAGTGTGTGCAGGGCTCAGGAGGAAGGGGAGCAAGGAGGGAGAGGACGTGTGGGAGTGAGCACAGCTCATCTTTGCCTCTCCCAACCCTGGGGAGCAGCCTGCTGGAGAGGCTGGGGACACTCACCTCTGCCATCTGTGGTGATGCCCAGACCGCTGCTGCAGAGGGCCTGGAACTCAGCTGTGGTGGCGGGAGGAGGGAACAGGGTGAGGAGGGGTCAGGGTGCGGTGCCACCATGAGCCTGAGCCCTCCTCTAGGACACGGCCCTGGACGTTGGACAAGCCCCTGGGACCATAATGTTCCCTCCACGTCATAGACTTCCTGCAGTCTCTTCTTGGAGAGAGAAGCCCCCACCCTGTGGAAGCTAAGACCCTGCTACCTTCTGCCCCAAGGGGCATGACCTGGAAGCCGAGCCAAGGAGGGGCCGGGAGCTGGAACTCACCGGAGTTCTTGGCAGGACACAGTTGGCAGGGCTCCCCAAACCCATGGTCTAGGCTGGCACAACAGCACTCGGACTTGGTGACGGCACCGGGGAAGGGGCGGGTGCAGGAGCCCTTCTCCACGGCCCCATAGCACGTGCTGCGCACGTGGGTGTCCACGCACACATGGCCGTCAGCGCCCACCACCAGCCCGCCCAGGCACTGGCAGTGGAAGGAGCCCGCGGTGTTGGTGCAGTGACCGTTCATGCAGATCCCGGGCGTCTGGCACTCGTCGATGTCTGCAGAGTGGGGAGGACCGCGACAGGTCCCCTCCTCGCTCAGCCCCCCACCCGCCCCTCTCCCTCTCTTGGTTTTCACCCCAGCCCTTCCCTTCTCCTCCTCTCTTCCCCTTTTCCCCAACCTGTGCCCTTCGTCCTTCTCTTTACCCCGTGTACTGGGTCAAATAGTGTTCCCCCAAAACTCATGTCCACTTGGAACCTGTGAAGGCAACCTTCACTAGAAATAGGGTCTTTGCAGATTGTTATGGATCAAACTGGAGTCCCTGGGTGGTGCAAATGGTGAACACACTCGGCTTCTAGCCAGAAAGGTTGGAGGTTCGCGTCTACTCAAAGGTGCCCCGGAAGAAAGGTCTGGCAATCTGCTTCCGAAAAATCAGCCAGTGAAGGCCATATGGGGCACAGTTCTACTCACACACATAGGGTCGCTTTGAGTTGGAGATGACTTACTGGCAACTGGAAAGAAAAAACCTGGATTGAATTGTGTCCCCTCAAAACGTGTTGGAATCCTAACTCCTAAACCTGTGGATGTAATCCTGTTTAGAAAGAGAGTTTTCTCTGTTGTGTAAATGAGGTCAGATCAGTGTAGGGTGGGTCCTAAACCTAGTCACTTCTGAGTTATGGAAAGCAATTAGACACAGAGACACGCACAGGGGAAGACGGACGCCATGTGAGGATCATTGTCATGGATTGAACCGTGCCCCCCAAAAATATGCATTGTAATTCCTAACCTCTGTGCCTATGGTTATCAGCCCATTTGGGAATGGGTTGTCCTTGTTATGTTAATGAGGTAGGATTAGTGTAGGGTGTATTTTGAGTCAATCTCTTTTGAGTTATAAAAGAGATTAAACAAGCAAGAGAAAAGCAGAGAAGTGGAAAGAGAGATGCCAAGCCACGTGAAGATCATCCAGGAGCAGAAGCTCAAAAGAGACATGGTCCTTCCTCCAGAACCAACAGAGAAAGCCTCTCCCTAAAGCTGGCACTCTGAATTCGGACTTCTAGCCTCCTAAACTGTGAGAAAATAAATGTTTGTTAAAGCTACTCACTCGTGGTATTTCTGTTACAGCAGTGCTACGTAACTGAGACAATGATCTCTAAACCAAGGAACCAAGGAACTGACAAGGAAGGAATCGACACGGCCGAGACCCTGATTTGGACCTTCAACCTCCAAAACTGTGAAAACATAGATTTCTGTCTTTAAAGCCCCCCACTTGTGGTATTTGTGTTACAGCAGCACTAGGGAACTAAGACACAGATGTAATCAAGTTAAGATGGGGTCATGCTGGGTGGTCCCTAATGCAATGACTAGTGTCCTCGTGAGAAGGGGGAAACTTGTTTGGATATAGACACACAAAGGGACAGACAGCCATGTGGAGACGGAGGCAGAGATCGGAGGGATGCGGCCACAAGCCCACAAACGCCGGGGCAGCCACCAGAAGCTGGAAGAGGAGGAAGGATACTTCCCTAGAGTGGACAGAGAGCATGGCCCTGCTGACACCTTGATTTTGAACTTCTAGCCTCCGGGAACCATGAAAGAATACAGTTCTGGCGTTTTAAGTCACCCAGTTTGTGGTCCTTTGTTATGGTAGCCTCAGGAAATGCATATACTCCATCTCTTTCTCTCCTCTTCTTCCTTCTCCCCCTTTCTATCACATCCTTCCCTCTTCTCTCCCCATCTCTTCTTGCTCATCTTATTCCTCCTGTCTTCTCCCCACCCCTCCCCATCTCTCATCTCCCCCTACCCCTTCCCCTCTCTGAGCCTCTCTCCCGTCTCTCCTCCCCTGGATCCAGGCCCTCACCCAGGCAGTAGCGGCCACCAGGTGCCAGCAGGAAGCCGGCTTTGCAGAGACACTTGAAGCTGCCGTCCTCATTGAGACACACCCCGTTGAGGCACATGCTGGTGGTGGCACACTCGTCGTGGTCTGGGGGCACCAGGAGGGGCTGGGGCCAGCAGGTGAGGCCAGGCACCAGGCCCACCCCAGGCAGCCCTGCCCTGCTGACCAGCCTCTCTCTCTCTCACACCTCTCTGGGCTTAGGGCTGAGCCTCTGAGGGTCCCCTCCCTGGGGTGTAGGAGTCAGACAGGACGTGGTTATCTGTGATGTTTGTTTGTGTATTAATCTGTCTGCTACCACATGAGCTCCACCGGGGCAGGATCATGCTCATGTCTCCATCTTTGGTTTCGGCACATAATAGGTGCTCGATAAACATTTGTGAAGAGTTGAAAGAATGAGCAAATAAATGAATGATGAACAAATGGAAAAAGGAGGAAATTTTCCCTGAGGAAGGAGGACGTTCAGGTATGTCTCCTATTTTGCTGATGTCTGCAACTTTGGTATCGGCACACAATGCGCACTCAATAAATATTTGTTAAAAGTTGAATGAATGAATGAGGAACAAATGCAAAAAGGGTGAAACCTCCGAGAAGAGATGTCTTTAGGCAGGTCTCCTTAGACAGGGGCAAAAGAGAATTACGGGGGTTCCTGGGTAGTGCGAACAGTTAACGTGCTCAGCTGCTAACTGAAAGGTTGGAGGTTCAAGTCCACCCAGAGGTGCCTTGGAAGAAAGGCCTGGTGATCTATTTCTGAAAATTAGCCATTGAAAACCCTCTGGAGCACAGTTAGACTCTGACACACATGGGGTCGCCATGAGTCAGCATCGACTCCACGGCAGCTGGTCCTTCCACCCCCACCCCACCCCACCTCACCCCCACCCCATCCCCCGCGTTGGTCCCCCTGCGCTGTGCCTGGGCAGAGCTAGCACAGCTCCGATGATGATGATACGTCCATACTCCAGGGGGAGCCTGCAGGCACGTGTGCGCTCTCCAAGGTCCTGATCCTGCCCTATTCCACAACCAGCCCCTCCTGGGCAGATCTGCCAGGACAAGCGAGGGGTGGTGCTATGGGCCCAGGGTCAGGCAGCTCCTGGGGCCACCTAACAGCATGGTCTCACCCCCAAGGTCCCCTCTCGGGGCTCATTGGATGAACTCATGAAGAAAGGGAGGAAGGAGCTGGGGAGTGGACAGGAGGAGCTGCAGGGCTCCAGGAGGTGAGCAGAGGGTGCATGGTAAGGAGGAGGTGGTGATGGAGCAGGAATGAAGATCGGAGGTGGCCGTCAAAGCCAGCCAGGAAAACCTAGAAAACCTGCCTGCCCACCCCCAACTCACCCACACAGTTCTTGCCATCAGGTGTGAGCTCGAAGCCCGCGTTGCAGACACACTGGAAGCTGCCCTCTGTGTTGACACAGCGGCCGTGGTGGCAGAGGCCCCTGCTGACAATGCACTCATCCATGTCTGGGAGGGAGGTGGGCAGCCAGAAGGCGGCCCTCAAGACTGTTTAATGCCGGCTGTGGATGCAGGCACCCCCAGCCAGGACTCGCCATCACCCTCGCCCCAGGCACGGCCGTACCAAGTGCACGGGCCCCCAGAAAGGACCACTGTCACCACCCCCATGCATGGCTGTGCCAGGTGCAGGGGCCCCCAGCCAGGACCCCCGTCACCCCCCATGCATGGCTGTACCAGGTGCAGGGGCCCCCAGCCAGGACCCTCGTCACCCCCCCACGCGTGGCTGTACCAGGTGCAGGGGCCCCCAGCCAGGACCCCCGTCACCATCCCCATGCGTGGCTGTACCAGGTGCAGGGGCCCCAGCCAGGACCCTCATCACCCCCCCATGCACAGCTGTACCAGATGGAGGCACTCCCGGCCAGGACCTCCCATCACCCCCTCCCCTTGCACAAACCGTACCCACACACGCCTGCTTGGTGACGGTGGCCTGAAAGCCCCCATGGCAGTGGCAGCGGTAGGAGCCAGGGGTGTTGACACAGTCGCCGTGGTGGCAGGGGCTGCTGGCACATTCGTCCACATCTGTGTGCACAGGACACTGAGCCCTAGCCAGTGGGGTGCAGCCCACCCCGACCACCCCTCGATACAACCCCACCCCCTCACCCATGCACCCCTGCCCCACTTCACCCATGCACCCCCTACCCATGCACCCTGCCCCACCTCACCCATGTAACCCTGCCCACGTCCCCCTGCCCCCCACTCATGCACTCCCGCCCCCTCACCCACGTGCCCCCACCCTCCTCATCCGTGCACCCCCACCAATGCACCCCTCTTACCCACGTGCACCCCCACCAATGCACGTCTCCACCAATACACCCCACCCCCTCACCCACGCATCCCCCCTCACTGATCCACACCCCAACCAATGCACCCCTGCCCCTCTCACCTGTGCAGCCCGGCCCCCCCATGCACCCCCCTCACCGATGCACTCCCCCCGCACGTCCCGGGTGAAGCCCACGTTGCACTCGCACTGGTAACTGGACGGCGTGGGCCGGCAGCGGCCGTTGAGGCACAGGTTGGTGAAGTGGCGGCAGATGTCGATGGTCTGGTTCAGCGTGGCAGTGCCTGCGCGCGGGGTCAGGGCAGGGGCCTGAGCACAGGATGACCTGGGCCCCCAGCTGGAGTCCTGCCTCTGGCCCAAACGCCCACTCTGAGGCCGGGAGCCTGCCCCAGCTCAGACCCCACCCTATATGCAGGCTCTCCCCTTGAGGCCCAAAGTCCTGCCCTAGGTTCAGACCCCCCACTCCAGGCTTAGACTCCCATCCCGGGCCCAGATCCTCACTCCAGGCTAAGAAGGCTCTCCAGGTCTAAATCTCCCCCCCCCCAGGGCCCACCCCAAGCTCAGAGAAACTGAGATGCCCCACCCCGGGCCCAGACCTCCATCCTGGACCCAGACCCCCACCCCAAGCTCAGAGAAACCGATACGCCCCACCCCAGGCCCAGACCTCCATCCTGGGCCCAGACCTCCGCCCCAGGCTCAGAGAAGCCCAGACCTCCTAGCCAGGCTTAGATTCCCCCATCTTAAGCTCGAGAAGCCCAGTCCCCCACCCAAGACCCAAACCCAGACCTCCATCCTGGGCCCAGACGCCCCACCCCGGGCCCAGACCTCCATCCTGGGCTCAGACCCCCACCACAAGCTCAGAGAAGCCCAGACGCCCCACCCTCGGCCCAGACCTCCATCCTGGGCCCAGACCCCCACTCCAAGCTCAGTCCCCCACCCAAGACCCAAACCCTGACTGAGGCCCAGACCCCCAACCTAACCCCACCCCTAGACCATTGTTGGTATCTTCATGCCACTGTACAGGCCAGGGCCCTCACTCTGAAGCCCCGACCCTCCCTCCGAGGCCCAACCCTGCTCTTGGACCCCTCCTCTCAAGCCCCAGGTCTCACCGATGTTGGAGTCGTTAGGGCCCAGGCTGGGGACTCCACGCCCATTGGAGCCTTGCTGGCTGTGTCGTGCTGGCCCCCTGAGGCCAGGACCCCTGCCAGTGGACCTGAAGCCTGGGAGGCTAGGGGAGGGGCCGGAGTAGGAGGGCAGCAGTGGGAGCCCCTGGGCACACAGTCGCTGGAATTCATCTGTGAGGGAGGAAGTAGGGTTTGAGGCTGGAGCTTGGGGGGCGGGAGGGCGGGGAGGCAGCCCCCAGACACTCACCAGAGCCCCGTGGAGGACACAGCTCCGGTGTCGGGCCAGCCGCCCAGCACCTGCCCATGTCGCAGCAGCACTGCCTGCGAGTATGGTGGCCGGCGAGGTCCCTGGCACAGCGGCCCCCGATCAGCACTGAGAAGCAGGTGCCAGCCCGGTAGTCTGCAAGAGGGTGGTGGCCAGGGCCAGCAAGCAGAGATGTGGCATCGGCCACAGCTACCAGACCTGGACTCAAATCCCAGCCCTCTCAGCTCCGCCTGGAAGACAGGTCTCTGCCTCTCTGTGCCTCAGTTTCCCCATCCACCAAACGGGGATGCAGAGCCCCCCACCTCATCTTAGCAACATGTTGCAAGGATGAAAACGGCAGTGCCCAGGGCTGGCACATGGTCGATGCTTACGGAGTGCCAGCTCTTATTACTAAGATCTCCTAATTATCACAGCAAGTAAATTTAGGCTTATTCCAAGCAAGAGAGTCCCAACACCCAAAGCTGGCACGGGAAGTGAGCTCACCACTACAGGTATTCAAACAGGGTTAGCGCACACCTTAGTGGGGGTGCTGCCCCGGTGGGAGATCAGGCTGGATGCTGAATGGGGATGCCAGGATCTGGGGCTGCACGTCCTCACCTACAGAACCTGGGCATTTCAGGGAACTCCCCCCCCCAAAAAAAAAAAACCCACTGACATCGAGTCATTTCCGACTCACAGCAACCCCATAGGGTTTCTAAGGCTGTAAATCTCTACGAAAGCTGACTGCCACATCTTTCTCCCGCGGAGCCGCTAGTGGTTTAGAACTGCCGACCTTTCGGTTAGCAGTTGATTGCTTTAACCACTGTACCACCAGGCTGTGAATCTGAGGGGTCCCTGGGGGAACTGAGGCTGAGGCTTCCTTGGTGTGAGAACCACAGACACTCTGTTGCTTCCCACTGTGCCCTCAAGTCCAAAGGCTTTACACAGGGATCAAATTTCTTGGGCTCTGACTCAAAGACCATATTTTTAGGTTTAAAAACCCACAAAGCTTGGCCAGGGGCCCAGAGTTGAGAAACCCCGTTCACCCGTCGGGAGGGCTGCTGACAGCCGCCCCTGCTCTGTCCCAGGCTGGGAAAACACGCAAACGTGCCACCTCCCCCGCCCTGTGCACCTGGGGATCCCCCAGGAGCCCGCGTGGGAGTCGGGACTTTGGACTTCAGTCAGCATCATTGCAGGCCCAGACAGGAGCCAGGGGCTGGAGAGGTCAACAGACTTCCTCAAGGTCACACAGCTGCCGAAGGGGGAGGGTGACAGGAAACTAGTCCCCCACCCCCACCCTGCGCCGCCAACCCCAGGTGATCTGACCCAAGCAGCTGTCCCTCAGAGAAGACAAAGAAAGAATGTCAGAACTATGGCAATGATGCCACCACAGCAGGCCTTGCGAAGATGTCACAGCTCAACCTCACTGCTATCCTGCTCTCTGTGACCTGTGCTGAATGCCTACTGTGCACCAGCCTCGGCAAGTCACCTGGCCAAGTTTATCTTGTTGAACCCTTACCTCAGCTCCATGAGGTGGGTACTGTTAAACCAAAACCAAACCCGTTGCCGTTGATTCTGACTCATGGCAACCCCATGTGTTACAGAGTAGAACTGCTCCAGAGGGCTTTCTTGGCTGTAATCTTTACGGAAGCAGATCACCAGGACTTTCTTCCACCAGGCAATGTTATTACCCCCATTTTACAGATAAGGAAACTGAGGCCCAGAGAGGTGAAGTCACTTGCTCAAAGTCACATGGTTTTGACCAGCTCAGCTGCAATTCGAACCTAGGCCTGACCCCAAAACCAAAGCTTGGTGGCAACCTGACCTTGGTTCAAATCTAGGCTCTGCTGGTTAGTAGCTGGGAGGCGTGTGTCCAGAGAAACCTTCCATGCCGGCCATGATGGGCCTCAGAGGTGGAGGCCTAGAAACTCTGGGGTTGGTCATAGCACGCTGGCAGAACTCCAAACACAATATTCCCAGCCCTGCCTTGGAGAGGCCCTGCCTGAGGGGCCAGGGTGGTGCTGGCGAACTGCCCAGCTCCCTCCCCTATCCTCAAACCAGGACTCCGCCCACCCTTAGGATCCTGTATTCCCTGCCAGCCCTGTAGACAAGCAACTTCTAACGCCTATGCCTACGGATCAGCTAGTCAAGACAGCTGACAGGAGCATCAGCCCGGGAGCACCCCTGCCTGGGAGCTGAGCCTCAGAGGGGAGGGTGGGTACCCGGGGGTAGGGAGCACAGCCAGAGAAGCCCACCCTGACCAGGGGCCCAGGAAGCTGTGTGTGAGTATACATCCACTTGCCTTGAACTGGTTGAGTTGGCTCAAGCAAATCCCCTCCCCTCTCTGGGCCTCAGTTTCCCCATCTCAAAAACCAAGAGAAGGAGGAAGTATTCACTCCTGGATAGTCTTTGGGGCCAGGGAGAGGGGCATAGAGACAGGGGGCCAGAGAGGACCAGGGGCATCGAGATGGAGGCTAGAGGGTCAAAGGGGCATAGAGATGAAAGCTAGAGGGCTAGAGGGGCATAGAGGCTAAGGGGTACATGGCGGTGAAGCCAGTGACTGGCAGGGGACCAGAGAGCTAAAGGGCAAGGAGCTAGAAGGCCAGGGGGGTTCACAGGCAGGAGTCTCTGAGAGCACAGAGGCAGAGGGGACGGAGACTTTGGTCTAGAAAGACAGATGGCCATAGAGATTGGAGGGCTAGAGGGGCTGAAGGCCAGGTATCCATTGTGGAGCTAGACGATGGAAGAGCTTGTCTCCTATTGGTCTTCTACCCTCCCAGCCCCCTTGGCCCCAGCTCACCCAGGCAGTGGGTCCCATCCAGGCTGCTGGCAAAGCCAGGCGGACAGGTGCACATGTAACTCCCAACTGTGTTGACGCAGTTGCCCACAGAGCAGAGGCCTGGCACGCTGAGACACTCGTCCACATCTGAGGCACAGCACCTGGTCAGGCCCGGGCTCCCTCCAGCCCTGCCCCTCCTCCTCCAGCAGGAGCCCGAGCTGCCCAGGACATAGAGGAGGTCCCCCTCACCATCACCCACCTTCACACTTGGCACTGCCCTCGCTGAGCTGGTGTCCCACCGGGCAACGGCACTCGAAAGAGCCCACCATGTTGACGCAGCTACCCCCCTGACACAGGCCTGGGACAGCCTGGCACTCGTCCACATCTGCAGGGGTGAAGGCCACCAAGGGGATGAGAGGCCCATCAGAGGGAGGAACCAAGGCTACCCAGGGCTCCCACTCAGCCCTGGCACCCCAGGGCCACTGACCCCACTCCCTAATCCCACCACCCACCTTGGCAGGCCCCTGTTCGGACACTGGGGATGAACCCACGACGGCAGGGGTGCGGCTGGGCAGGGCAGAGCACACACGGGAGGCCCCAGGCATGGCCCACGGTGGCACAGCAGAGTGCCTTGGTGCAGACGAGGCCCGTCAGCTGGTGCTGGCACCCCTCAGGGCCCACATGGCCAAAGCAGGGCCCCATTCGGTAGTCTGAGGGGCGAAGTGGGTGTATGCAGCTGGTCTGTGGCCTCCTCAGCCCCAGCGCCCTCTGCATCTCCATCCCTGCAGCCCCAGCTCAGGCCTCTACCTCCCCTGCTTCCCTCCCAGCCTCCTTGCACCAAACACACCAGGCTTCTTCCTAACAACAAGCCTTTCTTCATGCTGTGCTTCTTCTTCAAATGCCTTTCCTCCTGTTCTCAGACAAACTCCTATTCACCCTGCAAAACCCCTTCTCTCCAAAGCAGTCCCCAAACAACCTCCAGGGGAGACCAGGACTGCCCAGCCCACAAAACCCAGGGTATGTATGGAACTCCCCTTTTCTCCCCCAGGCCCACCTCTCCTTTTGGGCCCGGGCAGGAACCCATGGATGCCCGGCTGGAGAGCTTGCCCCATCCCAAACCACATGCCTGACCCGGCCAAATCTTCCGGACTTTGGGAGGGACCTAGCATGTGGCCTAATGCTCTGGGCTCGGAACATCACATCCCCAACCTCCATGTGGGCCAAAGGTGGCTATGTCGCTGCCCTGCCCACCCACTGCCATGCAAGGGGGCCAGGGCCCGGATGTGACTTCCTGTCTCCGCTCTCCAGATGTTTCCAATAACGTGGTTGGAACTCGACCCAGGGAAGCCCCTCCCAGAAGAAGTGAAGGCAGCCCCCACCCGCTCCAGGGTTTGTATGGAGAAGGGGCCTCAGAGAGACCCTCGCTGGTCCCGACTTCCCCAGAACATCACCTAATTCACTCAGCACCTGGAATCCTGGACACCCAGCCCGGCCTCTTTCCTGGGGCCTTCACCGTCCAGCCCCCACCCCAGGCCTCCTCGCTCGCCCCTCCCCACTGACCCTCACCTCCACTTCAGCCTCCAGGGCTTGTTCCACCTCCGACGGCACAAATTTCAATTCCTTTTTCTTGTCAAACTCCATTTGCAAAAGCCCACCCTCGATCCCAGGTAACCTCCCAGGCCACCTCAGCTTCCGGTTCATCACTACACCCCCACCCCCAGCACTGCCCACCCCCATCAGTCCCAGGGCCCCACCCCCTTGTCCTGCTTGGGCTCCTGGGCCTTGAAGGGCACTCCCAGGGCATCCCAGGCCCTCGCCACCTGGGCATTCCCGACACCACCGGCCCATTCTTTCTCCTTCTCAGCCTCCTGTGGGCTCCATTTTTTCTGCCCACCCTTGACGCCCAGACCCCTTCTCTTTTTGCCCCTCAGCCCTTCCTCTCCCCCATTCTCAGTCCCTGTGAATGGGGCAGGAGCCCTGGTGGCACAGTGGTTAAGCGCTCAGCTGCCAACCAAAAGGCCAGCGGTTTGAACCCACCAGTCGCTCTGTAGGAGAAAGATATGGTAGTCTGTTTCTGTAAAGGTTACAGCCTCGGAAACCCTATGGAACAGTTCTACTGTCCTAGAGGGCCGAAATGAGTCAGAATCCACTCAAGGCAATGGGTTTGGTTTGGTTTTTTCACTCTAGGGGAAAAGAGCCCTGGTTGCACAGTGGTTAAGTGCTTGGCTACTGACTGCAAGGTCGGCGGTTCAAACTCATCAGCCGCTTCACGAGAGAAAGATGTGGCAGTCGGCTTCCATAAAGGTTAATCCCAACTAACCCGGCTGCTATCGAGTCAATTCCCACTCATAGCAACCCTGTAGGACAGACTAGAACTGCCCTACAGAGTTTCCAAGGAGCAGCCGGTGGATTCGAACTGCCAGCCTTTTGGTTAGCAGCTGAATGCTTAACCACTGCGCCATCAGGCCTTAGAAACCCTGGGAGGAAGTTCTACTCTGTCCTAAAGGGTTGCTATGAGTCAAATTTGACCTGATGGCGATGGGTTTGGTATGGGTACTCTAGGGGAAGGCGCTCTCTGTCAGCTCTGGGGGAAGATCCTTGCCTCAGCTTCTCTTCTCTGAGTGAGTTCCCTGGAGATCTCCATGTGACATCTATCTTTCCCCCATTCGTGTCTAATCTGCTCTTTTTATATCTCAAAAGAGGTTAGGTTGAAGGCCTCATTAATGGCCTCATTAACGTAACAAAGAAATGCCGATTCCCAAATGGGATTACACCCACTGTATCCCATTGCCGTTGATTACAACACGTTTTTTGGGAACACCATTCGATCCATAACTAGCGGTGAAAGAATAATGTCTCGTGAGAGATAGGATGTGGAGGGCAAGGGCAGGGATGCGGATTAAGGTTGGGCCAGACTCTGGGTTCCATGCTGGCCAAGGGGGCTGTGGGTGTCCTGGAGGCAGCTGGACCCCCAGGTCTCAGGGCTGAGAAGGTGGCCGAGGCTGTCCCATCCATGGTGTTGTGCTGTGTGCTGTCGAGTTGATTGACTCGTAGCAGCCCTATAGGACAGAGTAGAACTGCCCCCATAAGCCCTGAATTTGGACTTCTAACCTCCTAAACTGTGAGAAAATCAATCTCTGCTCATTAAAGCTACCGACTTGTGGTATTTCTGTTACTGCAGCACTGGGGAATTAAGACATGGCTCAATCCCAGCATGTGGGGGCGTTTTAAGAATCCCCGTTGCTGTCAAGTCGATTCCAACTCAGTGACCTTATAGGACAGAGTAGAACTGCCCCACAGGGTTTCCAAGGAGCAGCTGATGGATTCGAACTGCCTACCTGTTGGTTAGCAGCCAAACACTTAACCACTGCACCACCAGGGCTCTGTTTTAAGAATCGGCGTCCAATACAGAGGGCTCATCCATCTGGCGAACTCCTGCTTATCCTGCAAGACTCAGCTCAGGTGTTCCTTCCTCCAGGAAGCCCTCCCTGATGCCTTTCCCTGCAGCAAACGGGAATCCCTCTAGCTTGCCCTGTCGTAGCACTGGACTCCTTAGATTGGAAGTTTCTGTGTTGAGGTTTCTCCCCCTTGCTCCCCGAATGGGATGCCACTGCGGACAATGGCTGCACACTCTTCTTCCTCTCGGGTGTCAACACGGGGCCTCGCTTTGAGTCAGTGATGTGCAGATGTTTGAGAGATGTTGTTGCATGCCTCAGAGTCAATTATGAATCATAGCAACTGTTACAGATTGAATTGTGTCCTTCCAGAAACGTGTCATAAATCCTAACCCCTATACCTGTGGTTATAATCCGATCTGGGAACAAGTTTTCTGTTATGTTCATGGGGCAGTATTAGGGTAGGATGTGTCTTATACCAATGTCTTTTAAGATATGAAAGAGCCGATTAAGCGAGCAAGCAGAGATGGGGAAATAGAAGCCACATGATTGCCAAGCAATTGAAAAACAGGCTGAAAAGAGACAAGGACCTCCCTAGAAAGCAAACAGAGAAGGAGAGAGTGAGTCTTCCGCTACAGCCGGTGCCCTGAATTCAGACTTCTAGCCTCCTAAACTGTGAGAAGATTGCTTTCTGTTTGTCAAAGCCCCCCACTTGTAGTATTTCTGTTATAGAAGCACTAGATAACTAAGACAGTGACCCCATGTGACAGAGTAGAATTGCCCTATAGGGTTTCCTAGGCTGTAATCTTGATGGGAGCAGATTGCCAGGTCTTTCTCCTGCGGATCGGGCTGGTGGGTTTGAACTGCTGACCTTTCGGTCATTGCATCACCCAGGCTTCTTCCTTCAGGTATAGGGGTTAGGATTCCAACGCATATTTCTAAGGGACACAATTGAGAGACGGGATAAGCAAATGAAAGCAATGTCTGGAGACTGCCCCAGCAGCTGGGGCAACAGGAAGGAGGCCAGCCCAACCCTCTAGGACCTGGTTGTGTCTCAGGGGCTGCCTTCCCAACCTCCTCACCTCCTCCTCATCCTCCCCCCCTCCTCCTTGGTACCTCTCTCACACTGTGGCCCCATGAAGCCGTACACACAGGCGCAGAGATTGGGCCCCACACAGCGGCCCCCGTTGTGACAGCCGCGGTCACAGATGGCTGTGGAGGGAGTAGGGAGGGGGCATGAGGTCCCCAAGCAGCACAGGAGCTGGGGCCAGAGCAGGAATCCCTGCAACCTGGCCCAGACCCAACAAGACTGTGATGAGGAAGGTGTCCCCTCCACCCCAGTCATGGAAAAGCCCCCAAGGGCAGTGGGCAGATGCATGTGTGGATGGGGTGCAGGCCTCCTGGGGCTACTCACGCTGCCCGCACACGGTGCCCACATAGCCCCTCTGGCACAGGCAAGACTCCCCTCTGCAGCTGCCCCCGTTCAGGCAGCTCACGCTGCACCCTGCTCCTGGAGACAGGGATGCACTGTCACGTGGTGACAGGGAACCAGCCTGAGCCCCTACTGGCGTCTGGAAGCCTGGAACCTTCTCCTCCTGCCTTGGGGGCCATGGCCCACTCACCTCGGCTCACCCCACAGCTGGGGGCCAGTGTTCCGTCCGAACAAGTGCACAGATTGGGCCGGGAGCAGAAGCCCTCACCGCAGGAGTGGCGGCAGACGGCTGGAACGGGCAGAGCAGGTGGCAGTCAGGGCCATGCCCTGGGATCCTGCACCATCTCCACTCCATTGGCACCCAGGCAGCTCCAGGACCACCCCCTGCTCTGCATACAGCACCCTAGTTTCACATAGGCTGTCCCCTGATTCTCGCTCCGGGCTGGGCAGGTGGTTTGACCCACACTGTGGCTCCAGGAGAGACACCTTCTCGGGGCCAGAGCTGCAGAACCTCAGGACAGGAGCTGGAGGTGCTGGGTCACTGGCAGAGAACAGGGGGCCTCGTGGGGAGTGCAGTCAGATTCCAGAGAGATGGGGACATTGAAAGGCAAAGGAAGCAAATGGGGCATGGTGGCCTGGGAGCATCGGACATAGGCAGGGGCCGTTCCCACGATTCATCACCACCCTCGCCCCTGACTACGTTCCACTTCACAACTGGGCTGGTGATAGGAGAAGCAAGAATACAGTGGTGGTTCAGTCAGTGGTAGAATTTTCACCTTCCATTCAGGAGACCGGGGTTCAGTTCCCAGTCAATGCACCTTATGAGCAGCCACCACCCGTCAGTGGAGACTCGTTTGTTGCTAGGATGCCAAACAGGTTTCAGCAGAGCTTCCAGATTAAGACAGACCAGGAAGAAAGGGCTGGCAATCTACTTGCAAAAATCAGCCAATAAAAACCCTATGCATCACAACAGTCTGATCCACAACCGATCATGGGGATGGTGCAGGACCAGGCAGCATTTCCTTGTGCTGGGCACAGGGTTGCCACCGGTTGGGGGCCGATTCCACAGCAGCCAACAACAACAAAAGAAATGATGTGCAGGGGTGAAGGGTACATGGAAACTTTCTAGACTTTCTTCACAATTTTCCATGAACCTAAAACTGCTCTAGCAAAAAAAAAGTCTAAATGAGGCACAGCAGCCCAGGGACAAGGACTAGAAGGCAGAAGGGACAGGAAAGCTGGTGATAGGGAACCCAGGGTTGAATAAGGACAGTGTTGACATGTAGTGGGGTTGTTAACCATTGTCATAGGGCAACCGTGTGTACTAACTGTTTAATGAGAAAACTATTTTGTTCTGTAAACCTTCATCTAAAGTGAGAATAGCAGCACAACTGGAAGAGCGTAGTTGATGTCACTGGATTATGCATGTAGAAATTTTTGAAATGGTATATCTTTGGCTATGTATATTTTCACCAAAAAAAAAAAAAAAGGTTGAGAAGGGAGAGGGTTGACATGTCATGGGGTTGTTAACCAATGTCATAAAACAATATGTGTACTACTGTTTGATGAGAAACTATTTGTTCTGTAAACCTTCACCTGAAGTAGAAGAAAAAAAAAGTCTATTAGAAAAAAAGAAAAAGGGCTGGATTTGCTGGTAGGTAAGAGAGCCAGCTGCCCAGTGTCCCTTCCCTGGGCCCCCCCGTCTCCAGGGTACTCACGCACGACGCACTGGTTCCCGCCGGGCAGCGTCCTCCATCCGGGACAGCAGTAGGCGTGGAAGCGAGAACCACACACATTGGGCCTTCGGGAGAGCGTGTGGGCTGGTGAGACCTGGACCAGCAGGCGTCAGGTGGGCGTCCCCTCCCCCAGGACAGCCCAGCCCAGTCCACCCCCCAGGGGTTTCTCAGCACCCCGGGGAACCACACACCCCTGCAAGATGCCTTGGCCACCTCGCCTCTGCATCCGTCCAGGACCTGGAGGCTCCGCAGCCCCGTCCCAGTGGCCGTGGCCACCTGCCACACACAACAGTGCCATCCAGGCCAGCAGGAGCTGAGCCAAGGGGCCAGGAGCCATGGTGAGGGCACTGGCCCCTCTCGTTGCCAAGCGCAGCCCCTCTGGAGCCACGACGTGTCCTTGGAGGCTGCGGAGAAGTGGGAGTCAGCCCCAGGAAAACCTAGTTCTCAGAAACACCCTGGCCACACAGCAGAACCAGGAGCAAAGGGATGGTTGCCAGGATGAGGAAGTCCAGGGTCTCGGGCGGCCCAGGGAGGCACCGCCCTGGACCTGGGAGCAGCTGAACAATCCAGGGAGGCTTCTTGGAGGAGGTGTGAGGTCTCGAAGATGGAAGTAGCTAGGAGAAGGTGCTGGGACAGAGGGGTGAACAGAAAAAGGAGAAGCAAGAAGGGTGCTGAGTGTTGAATGGAGGGATGAGAGGGACAGGCGGCCAGGTTTTGGAGCAGTTTGTGAGTGTCTAATAGAGCTTATCTCGAGAGCGAGGGAGGGCCCTTGAAGGGCTTTAAGTGAGAGGGACAAGGTCAGAAACAGGTGTTAGGTGGAGTGGAGAAGGGCTTTAGGGGCCTAAGGGGAGGCAGGCAGGTGAGGAGGCTGGGGCAGGCGTCCAGCGGAGAGGGCAGAAAGGAAGGGAGGATTCCAGGTATAATGAGCAGCTGGAATCAGCAGACATTGGAGTCAGAGACTAATTGGACGGGAAGTGAGAGGGAGGTGGAGAGGAGACCCCCAGAATTCTGGCAAGGGGGAAGGGGAGATATTTCCCTGATATGGGGTGAGGGAAGGGTTGGGAGTTGGTGGTCAGTCTATCGGAGACTGAAGACATGCTGGGCAGAAGCAGGGTTGCTGGGGAGAGGCAGGAGCTTCCCAGCCCAGAGGGCACCTACTCACCCACTTCACAGATGAGCAAATCAAGGTCAAGGGGCTGAGCAGGAGCTGAGGCCCCCGGGTGGCACAGAAGGTTTGCCCCTGACTGCTAGCCTAAAGGTTGGGGGTTGGAACCCACCCAGTGGCACCTCGGAAGAAAGGCCTGGCAATCTGCTTCTGTAAAGGTTGCAGCCAAGAAAACCTATGGAGCACAGTTCTACTGTGTAACACACGGGGTTGCCATGAGTCAGAATGACTATAACTGTATGGCAGCAGATCTGCCTGTTTTTTGTTTTTTTGAAGTCCAGGCAGCAGAGAGGGAGGGAAGAGGATCCAGCAGCTCCTCCCTCTCTCAGGAGGTGACCGGCTTTTCTCCTAGGCCAGGATGCGTGGGAGGGATGAGATGAGGACAGGGCCTGAGACCATGACCCATGCAAAGGTTTGCAGGGTGGAAGCAGAATACTCGCCGGGAGAGAAGCCACACCAAGTGGTCTGCGAGGTTGGGCTTTGGTGGGGGAATAGGCGGGAGCAAGAGGGACTGACCGAGTGGTCCCGAGATCCCCGGAGAAGGGAGACACCCTGCTGGGGAGTGGGGAGAGTGTGGGCCCGGCTGGCAAGGGGCGCCCGCTTCTTGCCTCCGAGATCTCCAGGCCGGTCTGCCCTCCAAGGGCGCCTTCTCCAGGCAGCCTCCGGGCCCGGGGAACTCCCTTCCCCGTTCCCGCCTCGGTGGTCCCAGGCCGGCGCTCCCGGCCCCCCTCCCTGTCTCGCCCGCTGCGCCCCGGAGTGGGTCGAATGAATGAACGCGGGTGGCGCGCGCGGCGCTGGCGGGGAGCGGGCTTCGGGGCTCGGCCGACGGGGGGGTGGGCGCCCCGGGAACCCGTGGGCCGCTCTCTCCACCGGGCAGAACGAGGGCGCAGTCCCCAGAGCCCCAATCGCGCTCGGCTCCGCCCTCACCTGCGGGTCTGAGCCAGGTGTGCGCCCCGCCGCCCCGCGCCCCGGCCGAACCCCTCGCCGGGCACCGGGACTCCGCGCTCCACTCTGGCGCCGAGAGGAGAGGGGGCTGGGCCCGGGGCTGCGGCTGCGGCTGCAAACAAAGGAGTCCCTTCCCCCTCTCTCCTCGCCCCCCCCGGCCCCCCGCCCCGCGCGCCCCCCGGCCCCACCGCGCCCCCGCCTTCCCTACCTGCGAGCCGGCGCGCGTGGAGGCGGCACGGTGAGAGGCCGCGCGGGAGCGCAGGCTCGGCGCGGCGCCGGGGCCCGGGGCAGGAGCGCGAAGGCGAGAGGCCCACCGCGCCGCGTTGTGAGCCCAGAGCTGCCACTCGGGGAGAGGTGGGGACGGGAGGAGTTGGAGGAGGACGCGTTTGCACCTCGAAGCTCCAGGGCGGAGGCGGGGGGCTCGGGGTCGAGGGAGGGGCTGGAGCTGGGGGAGGGCCTGGGGCTCCGGGTGCGACTCCGAGGGGCTGGCGAGATGGAGCTGGGTGCAGAGCCAGCGCCGGGGCTGAGACCGGGCTTGGGGGGCACGTGGAGTAGAGGGCTGCAGGGGCCTGGAATTTCGGATCGAAGTTGAGATGGAGGCAGCCCTGAGGTGAGGCTCGGATTGGGGGCAGCCTGGACTCACCTGGAAGACCCTCCCATGGCCACACGGGCAGCCTCCCCCTTGGGCAAGGAGAATTCTGAGGGTGAAGAAACTCACCTGGCGCCTGGAATCTGGAGCCTGAATTCTTAACCAGATTAAGGTTCTTAATCCAGAGTCCCCTAAAAATGCAGGCCAAACTTTGCACAAACTTGAACATTGTGCTGTTTTGAAGAACTATCTATATGGGATCAAATTGACAACAGCAACTCAAAAAATTAGATACAAAGCTTGGGGGGCAGTGAGTTTATGTTAATGGAAGAGGAACAATTTGGAAAAGGAGGGTGAGAAAGGTTGCAGGACTTGAAGAATGTAATCAGTGTCACTGAATTGTACACGTAGAAACTGTTGAATCAATGTATGTTCTACAGTGTAGATTCTCAACAACAGTTAAAAAAAAAAAAAAACTTTGAGCAAAGATGCATTTCCTGGGGAGAAGGTCCACTTTTTCATCTCGTTCTCAGAATGAAGAATGTAAGAATCCAAAAAGTCTAGACTTCTAAATTTCTCTGGGCCTCAGTTTCTTCACCTGTTAAAGGGGTTGGACTTCAGAATTTCAGCTCCCTGTCTGGCGTCTACACCTCAAGCAAAATTTCTAGACTCCCTCACCACTTGCCCACCTTTAAGAACAGACACCCCAGGTGACACTTAACGTGGGGATCAGTCAGAAGACGTTTGTTGGGCCTGAAGCTGTTACTCCACCCAGCAAACTCCTATGTATACAGTGAAGCCCAGTTCAAAAATCCCCTCGCCACCCCTAAGTTGTTAGTTTTCCCTATTGAAAGCTGATTGTGCTGATCATGCCTGCATTGTAGCACTTGTATACTGTAATTAATAAATAAAGAGCAAATAACAATTAGATCTAATATTTATCGGGCGCCCACAATGTGCCAGGCTTGGTGCTAAGGGTTTCACACATATTATCTCCTTCAATCCCCAGACAACCCTGTGAGGAAGATACTCACATAATCCCCATTTTACAGGTGAGTGAACTGAGGCATGCAGAAGTCAGGTAGCTTGTCCAGCATCTCAAATCTTGTAAGTAGTGGAGCTAAGATTTGAGCCCAGGTCTGTCTGGGGCTCCAATCCTCCTTGGATGGTCCCTGTAGGTCTGCAGGCTCATCTCCATATTTTAAGGTAGGCAGGTGGTCTCTGGGGAGCAGCACTGTGGATTTTGCTGGGGGCAGGGGATAAGGGAGGAAGAAGCCCTCCCCAGACAGATGTCTCTAATCCTCTGCCCAGCAGCACTCCCAATGCTGCAGAGGTTGGGTCCAGCCTGGGAGACAAAGCTGGACATTCCCAGGCCAGCCCAGAGGCAGGGACCCCAGGAGGGGGAAGACAAGGAGCACTCTGTCTGGGGGATTGATCTAGAAGGCTCAGTACCAGTTTACCAGTTGCCATCAAGTTGATTCCAACTCATGGCAACCCCGTGTGTGTCAAAGTAAAACTGTGCTCCATAGGGTCTTCAGTGGCTGTGACGTTTTAGAAGTAGATCGCTAGGACTTTCTTCCAAGGTGCCTCTGAGTGGACTCAAACCTCCAACTTTTCAGTTACCAGCCGAGCTCGTTCACTGTTTGCACCACCCAGGGACTTGGGAAGTCTCAGTAGAAGGGAACGGACCAGAAGAGAGGAGGGAAGGGCAGGCAGAGGAAATAGCAGAAGCAAAGAAAGATGCTGCAAATGAGTGGGGCTGGAGCTTTGGAAAGGTCCCTGGGTGGCACAAATGGTTTGCACTCGACTGCTAATGTAAAGGTTGGTGGTTCACCCACCCAGTGGTGCCGAGGAAGAAAGGCCTGGCAATCTGCTTACATAAAGATCACAGCCAAGAACTCTACGGAGCAGTTCTACTCTGTATCACATGAGGTTGCCATGAGTTAGAGTTGACTGGACAGCAATGAGGCTTTTGGGTTTTTTCCTTTATTTTTTGACTTGTGGGGGGAGAAAGGGGGCCAAAAGAGAGGCTGGAGGGGTGAGCAGAGGCCAGAAGCAACCGGGCACCCACAGTAGACTCCCCTGACCATGAGGGGAGCCACGAATGGGCTCCCAGGAAATGGAGTCCCTCCGGAGGCTGCACCGCGGGGCCTGGGACTGGGGGGCATCGAGGCTCCAGGGCTGGCCTGGGGGTGTGTGAGATAGAGGGAGACTTTGGGGAAAGATCGGGTCATCCTGGCTGAGGGAAGGGGGTCCTTGAGGCCCATAAGAAGGGCCACGAGGGGTAGTGGGGGGTGGGAGGGTGGGCCAGGGAAGGAACCCCAGGGACAAGTTGGCTTAGCAGTGTCAGAGGTGTGGTTCAAGTGGGGGGAGGTTCAGGGGCTGTTGTGGATGGGCCAGCTTTTTGAGATATCTCTGTCACTCCTTCCCACCCTGGCCAGGTCATCAGCCAACGAGTGCATCTCACCTGGGCACTGGAGCAGACAGCAGCCGGCCCAGAGGCAGCCCAGCATGTGGAAGGAGGGGGAGGGATGGTCTCACACCAGGGACACAGCATAACTGAGGCTGTGATGGCAAAGCAGGAGGAAGGTTTTCCAGGAGGAGAGGTGGATCAGGTGGTGATGCAGTTCTAGAAGTT